CTTATATATGACAGCTTTAATTACCTGAAACGGTCCATGTGATATACTTAAAATTACAGTACAGAAGTTCAGCAACAAAATGCCTGACCAACTTAGAGTAAAATATATGCAAGACTGCTCATCTGCCTTCCAAGTTATGGCAAAATATCCTCAAAAAGAAAACAAAATGTTCTTTTAAATATTCCATAAAACTATTTTCTTACAAAAAACTAAACAGAGACTTTTAGGGTTTATAACATTTGTACTGATTAAAATCTAACAGATGTGTAAACTTCTGAAAAAATGGATGCAAAAATGTTTCATCTAAGTTCCTCATGCAGAAAGATAAAAGGACTGACTAGTAACTTATGGATATTTGAGATTATGGAGTCCCCTGTCATGATATCACAGCATGCAGCTCTTTCGTAGAGATGTGCCACCCAAAACATACATACAGACCACAAAACAAAACTCAGACTTTATAAGGAATAAAATGTGGAAGGGGACCTATTTGGTCTTTCCTGTAAAAAGAAAAAAGAAAGGAAAAAAATCAGAGGGCAAAAATCATGTAAAATTTAAGAAGAAAATTAGCCTGGAAGCCAGGTAGTTAACAAAAACATGCCTTATTAAACAATATTAAATGGTAATATCCTGTATATGGAAATTTGCTTCTAAAAGTCTAAAATTAAAATAACAGGCATTAAAACATCTTTGTCGGTGATGCACTGGCACCTGGCGACACTGATGGCATTTTATAACACAATCTCTTTTCACAGTTTCTGAACCATGAGGCATTTCTGTTCGATCTCAATATACACACAGCAGTAACTTAGTTTTTTCTGTAAATGAACACAATGGTAGTGGGCATGCTGATTAGAGTTCTCACTCTGCAAGTAAACCTGTCCAGGAGTTAGTCCCTTAATTTATAAATATGACCAGAACTGTCATAAAACAGCCACACCCGGTAAGTAACCAACGTCAATGTTTGCTGCTTTTTGACAAAAAACTAAATAAACACAGACTCTTGTTTGTTTTGTACGGATATACAGCAGCTTCAAAAACAAATTTTTTCACCCATGTTGTGCTCTGCTAAATCTTACAGCTTGGTGCTTTTATTACATATTCAAGTGAGAGATATATCACATTTTTAGCCATACCATTAAGAGCAAATGCAGACCTAATGTAAGGAAAAAGCTAAAAATAATAATGAAAACATATTTTCTTCAAGTAAAAACAAAGCAGAGAAATTTATTGAAACCTTTTGGTAAAGATGTGAGGTAAATACATTAATTCACCTTAAGTTAAGTTAGAATAAAGTCACATTACAAACTTAAAAAAAAGATCCAACATTTAATTTCACCACATATTGGTGGAACATTTATTCTGCTATTAAAACTTTACACAACTCCCTTGAACAAACAGAATGACCATTAGTTTCCTGTAAAATCAAGTTGGTAGCGTACAGGGGGAACCTTCTTTGGATATTCTATCAGGGTTGTCAAAAGCTTAAATGTAAAATATATTTTTGTGCAGGTTTGATAACAGTTCTGACAGGATTTTTGGTTTGGGAAATGGCACATGAAATTAGATTAGTTGATGATTATTATTAAATCAATTAAACCTACAATTAATAAACTTTAAACGTCCCAGAGAGCAATGCTTAGCTATATATATATAGATATATATCTATATATAATGTATATCTATATATATATGTTCATTGTTGTTGTTTTTTTTTTTTACTGGAATGTGTCTGATTAATTTAAGTTATTTTCCCAGCAGAGATTACAATAGGTGTATGTCTATGATCGTAGGACTCCCAAACGCCAGACCGGAATATAGGTAGTGTCCAATGGTTTTCTCATTAAGGCTTGCTGAACCCAACATCTTTGGCATGAACACTGGAGAACAGTCTTCTTCTACAAACAAAACCAGTGTTTTACAGACTGGCTTTGTGTTTGTAGTGGGTAAAGGAAATGAGTCTCTAAGCTGCACAATAAATATACCCTTGCAAAACTGAAAGTCATACTTTACTAATTCGCTTTACTAATTTTTTTATGAACTGATCTAATTAAGATAAATGTTAAACAGAAGTTCAAACAATTTATGTAAAACAATTCAAGATGTAATTTAGTCAAAAACAACTGCTTCTATGAATAAATGTGATATTCTAAGGCTTTTAAAATATCTTTACCAGGGGTACCTACATTTTTCAACATCTAAATACTTGTTAAAGTTTGCTGTTAAACATTTCTGTTTATTTCAGTCGGTAGAGTTGACCATGTGAGCTGCAAAACAAAGTGGTACAGTGCCTTACAGAGGTATTTGGCCCCATCAAACTTTAAAACCTTTTGTCACATTTCAGACTTCAAACACAAAGTTATAAAATTGTAATTCTTTGTGAAGAATAGACATTTGGGACACAATCATGAAATTAAATTTATGTGACATCTTAAACTTTTTTAACAAATAAAAAAACTGGCCGTGCATAATTATTCAGCCCCCTTGATTTAATACTTTATAGCACCGCGTTTTGCTGCTTGGGGTATGTCTTTATAGCTGTTTTTTCCACTGAAAACCTTCTCAAGACCAGGTTTACCCGATAACAAATGGCTTTCAGCTCTTTTCCCATTTCTCCAAAAAGCCTAATCTGACCCCCTGCTGGCAAGCTACGTGGCTACTAGGACTGTAATTCACACCATGAACATGGCGATTCGATTCAGTATCAATTTTCTGACCCAACGATTTGACAATGTTTCAAATTTGAAATAAATCAATGAAAGCTGTAATATGGTTATGCATTTTATTTGAGAAACAACAGCAATTACCAGAAGTAGCAAAGTTGTACTCCACCTAGGCTTTTTTTAAACCTCATTCACTGAAAAATATGAATGCCTCTGGGTTATAGATTCTAATTCTGCGTTGCATCCAAAAAATACTGCAAGCGGAAAGAGGGTAGTTGCTAAAGGAAGCAAGGTAGGAGGGAAAAATAGGTTTAGCAAATGGATAAAAATAGAGCAGAGGAAAAAAAAACATGAATCAATACTCTTGTGGACGTGTCGATGCGTTGGATCGTCGGCTGTTGGACCGAGAGAGCAGCTGACTCATGAAGCAGACCAGGCTGGAGTAAGCAGGAGGAAGCGGTGTGCATTAGGGCTGCAACTAACGATTATTTTAAAAATCGATGAATCGGCCGATTATTTTTTCGATTAATCGATGAATCGGACAAAAAAATTTTTTTATATTAACCTCTTTATTCCAAAATAAACATTTTAGACAGAACAAACAAGCACACAAGTACAGGTTGCTCATTAACTGTACTGGTGCAATATGAAAAAGAAATGTTTGTGTTAAAACTACGCAAACTTACATGAGAAATGTAGCTGTACATCCACAAAATATAGGGTACTTTGTTTCATAAAGTGCAAAAAGAGACATTTGTTTTTAAAGCCCCTAAGGGGTTCAAACAATAGGCCCCCCCATTTCAACAAATGAGTTTTTTTTAGACTAGAAGAGTTCTGCCTTTTAAGACAGGAAAGTATAGCAGTTAAAGTTGCTGCTTGAGAAAATACTGAACCATAGAGATAAAAATAGCCCTGTGATTCAAATTATAAATTGTATTTGGAATAAAAATGAGAGAACTAGGGGTGTTAAAAAACACATCCTCCAAAGACAGATATTTACGTGGGAATGTGGCATTTAATTAATTGACATATTACTGATCTTGCTGGATTTTATTCTGCTTTACTTCTAAAAATTGCAGGATCTTCTTTATCTTTGCCAGAAGATTTAAACTTTAAAAGCCTTGCCCTCATAATTTGCAAGTTAATTTATTTAAAAAGAAAATATAAATGCTGCTTAACCCCTAGAACCGTACGGACCCACCGGTGGGTCCAGCTGCTACGTGACCTCGTAATTTGAACAAACCCCCAGTATTGATGTAAAAAACACATTTGGCACAGTTTGGTGACATTTTTGGATAAATGTGCTAAAATGGCCTCTCAGCCTAAGAACTTTCTCACTAATACCATTCTAAAATAAATATGATTCATCTGATTGAGTCCAAATTTGGTATATTTTTACACAACATTTAAATTTAAAAGTCTGTACTACTTTTTTGTGCTATAAATAATATTTTGGTAGTGTTTTGCAATGTTTATTTCAAAGAAAGAATTTTGGCGAGGTTCAAAAAATGCAAAATATTTTGTATTTTGTCCCTAATATTTCAGGCAGGGTCAAAGCTACAATGGTGCTGACACCAGAAAACCATTCTATGACATCTTACCTTTACAGACGTACCAAAAGTTTCTTCTTAAATCTAATAGCTGTGAGGCTATAAGTGATTTACTTTTGTGTGTTTTTGTCAGGCAGAAATTTATTTATACCCCCTGAGGGTGTAAGAGGTTAAGCTAATTCAAATGAAATTAAAAGTAAAATAAGTAGCCAACCTTATCCCTGTCTGTAACCTACTAACACGGTAAGGAAAGCATCAGATGAGCTACCTGAGAAACTAACGTTACGTTTCCCCACTTTAAAACGAAACAAACATGGTCGCTCATCCTGCTGATGAGCTCTCTTCACTGCCATCGAAGGCTCCAACGTGTTTTCTTTTCAGGTGCTGCTTCATAACAGTGGTGCTTCCGTGCCATGTTCATTTGTTTTTACAAAAGTTGCATGTTACGACTTTTTTCACTTTACAAAGCGCATTGTGATCATTGTGATCAGTTTGCGCACGTGCGCTTCATTTGCAGTCTGGACCCTGAAGGTAAACTCCTCACTAAAATCCTGCGGCTCTGAATGCAGCGCTGAGAGGGATTCCTGTGGGAGAAGGAGAAAGGGGTTGGGATGGGGGAGGCGCCCCACGGCAGGCAAAAGCCGCCAGTGACACCGTGAAAAGTCGCCAGATTTGTCCCTAGTCGCTTTTTTGAAAAACAGTCGCTGGAGGGGTCTGAAAAGTCGCTGAGTTGGCAACACTGCAACTGCGGCGCTACTCGCTCCGCCATATTTTTTTTTCTTCCCCCAGATGACGGTGGCGGCGGATGACGCATTAATCGCGCGACACAACTAATCGATGATTAAATTCGTTGCCAACGCTTTTAAAAGTCGATTTTTATCGATTTTATCGATTCGTTGTTGCAGCCCTAGTGTGCATGGTGACAAAAAAGGGGCTGCAGAGGACAACGCGAGCCAACTTGAACCGTGCCATCAGACCAGTGTAACCGAACCACAGCCAGAAGATCCAGGATCTCTTCCATGATGCCAGCAACACCAACGAGGATGTGGCAAGGCACATGGGTGATCACAGACTACAACACACCCTCCCCCAGTGGGAGTAGCTGATGCTGACTTCCTAAATTGATTTAATGACTTGTTTGGAAGGCTTGAGGCACTAAACAACATTCCAGCTGTGAAACCTGTTGTTCACCAGGTAGAGGAGGCACTCTGCCTTGACACAGCTGCGGTGTGGAAAACTCTGAAGCGTCAACTCGACTAAGGCACCAGGCCCCGGGTGTTCACCGAGTGTGCAGGTCATCTGGCTGGTGTCCACACAGACATTTTTAACACCTTGACCAAGCCATGGTGCCAGCATGCTTTAAAGGTGCAGTAGGAGATCTTTTCTGATGCAGATTTTACCATGTGGCTTAAAGATCTCCCCACAGCTGCTTAGCAAGCAGTGAAATAGAAGGTCTGGAAGTAACCCCAACCAATCACAAAAGACGGTCCATTGTACACAACTGGTTCCTGACACGTCAATCATCTGCTTGTCCCTCCCCCGTGTCGTACCCTGACACATGAACGAATCAAGCCCCCAATTCTCATGCAGGATGTCATGGCTGGAAGCTAGCCAGTGTTATGCTACGTTCACACCTAAAGCAGCAAGAGCAGCAAAAACTTGCATGCTGCTTCATTTTTTTATGCTTGTACAAGTTTAGTTCTGATGAGTGGCTGAAGCATATTTGATCAGATTTGGGTTTCTAAAAAGTAACGTAATCCAAACTGCAGGCACCAGGATGATAAAAGTGAACATGTTTGCCCGGCAGATTTCAGCATTTTAAGTTATTTTTGGGTTAAAATGCCGAAATCTGCCGGGCAAACATGTTCACTTTTATTATCCTCTTCGCTCTATTAAAGACATTTCATCCCAGCGCTGCGTGTCCCGAGCCCATATCATCATCAGCATCCCCTCACATCCCCACCATGGGCTGTTCTCCCTGGTACCCACTGAGAAGATTCTTCGCAAAATCTTCTCAGTGATTACAATTTTATATCTTTATGTTTTAAGCCTGACATGTGGCAAAAGGTCAAGATGTTCAAAGGGGCCAAATACCGCAGGAAACTATGTACCTCAATAACTTTACTGAAAACCTTTTAAACGTTTAGACAAATGGGTACTTCTGATCATAGTAACAGCTTTGAGATAGCTGCACTCTGCCTAGTGGAGAAAATAATGTAAGTGTACAGATCTTAGAAATAACTGAGATTCATATATTGCAACATTTGCCCTCGCTTAAGTGAAGTACTTTAATTTATTACAAAAATGCTCTATACAAACTTAGACTTTTTTTCCCCTTGCCTAAATTTACTATATAGAAAATAGAGCAAATCTTTGTACAACTAACCACAAAACTCCAACATCAAAGGCTTCTTTCTCTAAGTCATCCAAATGATGCCTGAAGATGAGAGAAGCCTGGTTGTAAAATAACAGCTGTATCTCCAGTCATTAAAATATGACTAGATACTGACCAAACCACCAGCTAAAAATATTTAGCATTGGAAATGTAAATAGTAACACATGTAACATATTTGACAGTTGGTCAAAGCAGGTGCATTTGCGAGTTTTCTACAGCTAATGTAACCATTCAATGTGTGTTAATGTCCATTTCACACAGGTGTGCTGGAAGGGTAGTGCAATGAAGTCAGTCAGGGCCAAAACATGGCAGACATGTTAGTGTCGGTGCTGTAAATCCACAGCAATACTGGCAGGGAGATGGCCAAGAAGGGCCAGGAAATTCCTTTAGTGCATGCAGACAGGGAACAGCTTCTGCTGGTTGGATTCTCCAGCTGTTTACCCAGTTCCAAGTAGTTCCTGGCAGCAAACTTCAGCAGCTCATCTAGCAGGATGACGGGAAGGGAGATCTTCAGCACCATCATCCACTGGGTGGTATCAAGAGGGGTGATCTGGAAGATGACCTGGGACAGTATGTAGATAATGGTTTGCAATAAATAACATTGTGTTTTTGACCCCAGCCGTGGTCCTGAGAGGACAGCGTGGTTACCTTTAAGGGTTTAATGGGACACAAAATTCATGTTGTAGAAGGTATCCTGGGTTTTAAGTCATGATACGGGAGGTTTTCAATACGCTTCAAGGGAAGGAAGGGATTTTATCTGTATTGTAGATATTGGGAGTATTATAACCAAATGGTTACTTATATAACAAAACTAAATTTCCATGTGGCTATAATGCTCCCAATCTCTACAATACAGATAGAATCATATTATAGTAATTATCTAATATATAATCAGATACCTTTATTAGTTTACTGCGGGGGCGCAAGGGGTGATGGTGCCTATCTCCAGCTGTCTATCATTTTTTAATTGGGGCTAATGAACTTATTTTGTGAAGGATGAACAAATGATGGCATATTCCTGCAAAATGATTAGATGAAAAATATTCAGCAGCAAAGATCCTTTTTAGAAGATGCATGGAAAAAATAACAGTGAAACCATTTGAAAAAGAATGTTTTTCAGCAGATTTTCTAATAAAAAAGTATATACTCACACATAAAGACAATTTAGAGAAGCCAATTAACCTAACAGTACTCTTTTTGGACAGTGGTTGGAAGCCAGTGTACCCGGAGAGATCACATGCATCCACGAAGAGAACATGCTAACCACTGCCCCCACAGTCAAAAAAAAAACATGCCTTAAATTCTGTTCAGCTTAATTAAAATCTGTCACTTTGAGTTAATCACAAAGAGAAAAATAACTCACAGGTAGAGGCTCTACATAGAGGATGAGGAAGTGAAGAGACATGGAAAGGCAGATGGCCCCCAGCAGCCAAATGTTCTCCCAGGGAGGCATACGCAGCAGGGATTGGTTCTCTGACAAACTAAAGCAAAGACAGAATTCAAATGTATTTGTGACACGGCATGCACCTTTCCTTTTTGTAAAGAGAAAAGTGCCAACCTGTTCAGAGCATTGCACATCTCTATTGTGACAAGCACAGACAGGGCCATGGTCATTGGATATGGTGACTCAAACACATGGCAGTCCAAACCTTCAAATTCAGGGTTGTCTGGGTCGCATTGCAAAAAGTGGCACTGTTAAGAAAGGTTCAAATGGAATGAGACTGAGAATGTGATCTTATGAAGCTGAAAATGTTTTAACATTTACCAGCTGATAAATAGTGAGCTGTGGGCCACCCTCAGAGACTGTAAACCACCATGCAGCGGCTCCCACAGTGGCAGCTCCTACATAACCTGGGAACAGAGACAACAAAACTTTCTGTTACACATAAAAAAAAGCTGCAAAGATAAAATGTGCTTATCTTCTTCACATCCTGACTGGTACCTGTTCATTTGTGATTTACTCAGCTTACCTCCAATAGCCAGGTATCTGAAAAAGAGCCAACCAGAGATCAGCGGTTCCTTTGCATTACGGGGAGGTTTCTCCATGATGTCCAAATCTGGGGGGTTGAAGCCAAGGGCTGTAGCAGGGAGGCCATCTGTCACCAAATTAACCCAAAGCAGCTGAACTGGGATCAGAGCCTCGGGGAACCCCAGAGCAGCGGTCAGGAAGATGCTGTCAGGAAGAAAATCTTGTCAGAAATAAATGTATTCATCATTTGACATTTACCCTGAACTGTTGAACATAAAATTATTCCTAATTTTAAACTTGCACTCAGATTTAGACAAACTTTATTGTCATTTCGTATACACGGACTGTATACAGAACAAAATTTTGTTTATACCACTTACTGACAGTGAGCAGCAGCTTAGCAGTGAAAAAAGACATTTCACGATTGTACATTGCAACCACAATTTTTAACTATTATATAAAAATTTGATGTGAAAGACCAACCAAACATTGTGACTTGATGGAAAATTAAATTTTTAACAGTTCTTTAACAAAAATATATTGTTTTGCTGTTTACATACAGTGCTTGAAATTCACAATTTTGGCACAAGGCATAAGGGCTATAAACCCAAACAACCCAATATATCTATAGAGTAGTCCTAACACTGTTCCTCCCACACTGCATACATTTGATCACTGCCGCACTTTAAGAATCGGAAATGTCATGAAAAGGCAAAATTTTGTTTTGTTTACAATCTGTGTATACAAAATGGCAACAAAGATTGTCTAAGTCTAAAGTCTGACTAACAACTTGTGTAGGAGGTGCAAAAGATTACAGACTTGATGTAGAAAATTAACCTAAAAAATGGACAGGCATGGTATGATTTGGTCCTTGTCAAAGTGCAGACCTAAATTCTATTAAGAATCTGTAGGAAAACAATGAAAACATGCTCTATATCTACAAATTTTCTAAAAAAGAATAGGGAAAAACCTTTAGTCTGTAGAATCGAACGTTAAGATATATCAGTAAACCATGGTTCTTTCTCAGTCTACAAAATATAGAAGGTTGAAGGGGTAAATACTTATGTATTTAACATAAGCTACTTCTCCCTCTAAATATCAGAGGATCACACTGGGAAAAATCGAAATCTAAATAAGTCATTTTTTCTTAAAATAAGTGCATTTGTTCTTGGATTAAGGAGGTAAAAGAGACATTTTGCCAATGGAACAGGACAATTTACACTTAAAATAAGAAAAGACACCTGCATTGTCTAATTTCAAGTGCATATTATCTAATTATCTTATTTTAAGACTAAAAATACTCATTCCATAGGCCAACTATCTCATTTACCTACTCAAATTTAGGGAAAATATATTTAATTTAAGACATTTTTTACATTTTCCTAGATTGTTTTTGCAGTGTGGTAGCTAAAGGGCTTTTATTTGCTCCAGAGGAAACTCACCAAACAACCTCACCCACATTGGAGGAGATAAGGTATCTGATAAACTGTTTCATGTTATTATATATAGCTCTGCCCTCTTCTACAGCAGCAACAATGGAGGAGAAATTGTCGTCTGCGAGGACCATCTCTGAGGCTGACTTGGCCACGGCAGTGCCAGAACCCATGGCGATGCCGATCTCTGCCTTCTTTAGTGCAGGGGCATCGTTCACTCCATCTCCTGTCTTTAGACAAACATGTTACAGAGAGCTGATAACTGAGAGATCCTGTAACCCTGAATACAACACAATGACCAATATGAGTAAAAACAAACAGCAGTTTTATTAGTGTTGTACTTCCTAGGGTTGCTTACCATGGCAGTTATTTCATTAAATCCTTGCAGGACCTCAACAATCTTGGACTTGTGGGATGGCTCAACACGGGCAAAGCACCGAGCTTTGGTTACGGCCTCCCGCTGGGCGTAGGGAGACAGTTCATCAAATTCTCGTCCAGTGAAGGCCATGTGCTCTATATCATCATCCTCCATCAGGATGCCGATGCGTCTGCAAATGGCCACGGCTGTGCCTTTATTGTCCCCGGTAATCATGATGACCCGAATGCCAGCCTGACGACACAGTTTAATTGAGGCAGCCACCTCCTGCCTGGGTGGATCCAGCATGCCAACGCAGCCAACAAAGGTCAGGTCAGACTGGATGCAGAGTGGGTGACAAAAAGGTACAAGAGTGACAGAGTGTTAGGTTTGATGCTGCTATTTCAATAGCTAATAAGAAAAAAAATTATAAATATTTACCTCATATTCTGTGAACTTGGAGGTATCGGAGAGTACCATGTCCTCCATTTTAGGAGGGTTGTCTCGTGTGGCCAAAGCCAGACATCTCAATGTGTCCCGACCTGTTCCATACTCACGAATAACAGACAAGATATTTTCCTTGATACCTTGAGTGAGGGGGACTTTAGTGTTACCAACCCGGACATGAGTGCATCGGTCAATTACTCCTTCTGGGGCCCCCTGGGAAGCAGAACAGAGATGCAAAATATGCACACTAAATCCATCCAAATCAAGTCTTACACGTTTTGCTTCATTCTACCTTTATAAACATCTTGCCCATCGAGGAACGAGACTTGTTTGGGGTGCAGTAGACAGACATGGACTTCCTGTCCCTGGAGAACTCAAGGGTGCACTCCTTCTTCATCAGCTGTTTGATCACCTGATGCAAATAATTCGTGGTCAGGGAGAAACCCTGCTGAGTGGGAACTGGGGGGTAAAGAGTGAGGAGGTGGCTGTCACTCACTGAGTTGCAGGCGTTGGCTCTGTCAATCTTAGACAAGCTGTGGACTTCTGTATCGAAAACATTCATTTTCTCAACTAGACAAGTCAGTGCAGTCTCTGTGGCTTCCCCCACCTTCTCGTACACAAACTTTACCTTAAGAGTGAGACACATTACGAGTCACTCATTTTCATTGTCATTCTCATCTTTTTTAATAATCTCATAATGTAATTTGTGTAAACCTCATTGTAGTCCAGGGATGAGTCATTACACAGGGCACAGATGGTGGCCAGTTCAACCAGAGCATCATACTGGGAGCATTTCACTAGTTTGCCATCTTGATACCTATGAAGAGGCATCTCAGTCTGATATGTGTTTATTCAAATCTGCATTTATCAACATAGTTTAACTGTAAACTGAATGTATTCACTATACTCACACTTCTCCTTCAGGTGCATAAGTTGATCCTGTAATGGTGAATTCTGACAGAGTGCAGCTTTCACATTCTGCTTTGCCGAGTATAAACATCTGAAAATTAGAGTCAATAGTACAGGAATGAAGAATAATCTTAGCTTCCCCAAAGCAGATATTAATTTGTTTTCATATTTTTTCAGTCAATTGCATGTTAATTTACTTTGTCACTGCACGGGAGCAGGCAGGACAAACCTCAGAAAACCCCCTTAACCAAACTACATAACACTTGATTGAGCAGCATACATAACACGGAACTGAGGAGCATGCAGTACAGCACGCCTTAAATCAGTTTGAGGATCAACCCATTGTGCCGTGAGGCTCAGTTGAAACATCGCACAAACGTCTGTACTCCAAATATCAGTGGTGAAACTAAAAACATTCCGATTCAAGTGACTTGGTATTGTTTCTTTAACTTTGCTGTACAGCTGTGTTATGGCTTTGTCTGCAATGTAATTTCTTGAGGGCAGACTGTAGCATGGGTCCAAAACTTCCAGATGACAATTTAAGTCCAAGATTCTCGACAGGCTGGTTGTCAAGAGCAATATATTTGACCAACTTTCTTTAATCGTCTTTGCCCTCTTGTTTTCCTTGGACTATTTGTCTCGCCTAAAGTATTTGTTGCTTTACTTTAGCAACCTTCCCATCTGCAGCTTTACAAAACACACATCATGTTTTGTCCTCAGATAACTAATTAAATTTGTGGTGTTAAATGTAGCTCTGCCTCTAGCTCCTGTTGAAATTGCCATGTGGCAGACATTCCAACTAGCTTTAAGACAGTCTTCACTCTTAAGAGTAAAATATTTCCAAACTTCTGACATGTTGGATTTGCACCACCACAGCGGTTGGTATTGCACAGCTACTGTCAACCGTAACTAGGTGGTACTTTATGGCAGTTGTGTAAAGATCGGCACAACTCTTCATCTAAAGTAGCTGAGCTCCAATCACCGAAAAATAGGAAAAGATCGGATGATCCAATTTTCAGATCGTGATCGGGACATCCCTAAACTCATTAAGCATTATTTACTGGCCAATTAATAAACAGAGCTTAGAATAAATAGTTTAAGCTAATAACACTCAGAGCAGAAGATGTTACTGTAAGAAAGTTTCACTATTTTCAGTATGAATTAAGTTTTCACATTTAGGCCAGAGAAAGCAGAGAGGTGTAAAACCATTTTAAAAGACTTTGCAAATATAGAGGTACATCACCTTTTTATTCAGGCTCCAAACACAAAGAGATAGGTTAAGGTAAGTGCTTATCTTTAGCTTATTCCTTGTGTAATATTTCAGCAGCTTTAATACTAGCTGTTGTTATTGTGATATATTCATGTACAAAAACGCTGCCATGCACCAAAGAATAAAAGGATCTACAGTCATGGCCAAAAGTTTTGAGAATGATTCAAATGTTGATATTTACAAAGTCTACTTCTTCAGTTTTTATAATTTGCATTAACTCCAGAATTATATAAAGAGTGATCAGCGTAACAGCAATTAATTGCAAAGTCAATATTTGCCTAGAAAATGAACTTTATCCCCCAAAACACATTTCAACGTCATTGCAGCCCTGCCTTAAAAGGACCAGCTAACATCGTTTCATTGATTGCTATATTAACACAGGTGTGGGTGGTGACGAGGACAGGGTTGGAGATCCATCTGTCATGATTAAGTAAGAATGACACCACTGGACACTTTAAAAAGAGGCTGGTGCTTGGCATCATCGTTTCTCTTCTGTGAACCATGGTTATCTCTATAAAAACATGTGCAGTCATCATTGCACTGCACAAAAATGGCCTAACAGGAAAGCGAATCGCAGCTAAAAAGATTGCATCTCAGTCAACAATCTATCAGGTATAGGGTAAGGTACAGGGAGGGGACTGCTGAGGACTGGGGTAAAGTCATTTTCTCTGATGAATCCCCTTTCCGATTGTTTGGGACATCTGGAAAACAGTAGTTCGGAGAAGACGAGGTGAGCGCTACCACCAGTCTTGTCTCATGCCAACTGTAAAGCATCCTGAAACCATTCATGAGTGGGGTTGCTTCTCGGCCAAAGGAGTCGGCTCTCTCACAGTCTTACCTAAAAACACAGCCATGAATAAAGAATGGTACCAGAATGTCTTTCGGGTCGGTCGTTAAGGAGGTATTGTTCACCGGCAATACCTCCTTAACAACCGTCCCTTAACAATCCCTTAACAATCATAGACAGGTCTCAGGTATTACAGGAGACAATCCCCCCCTTAATGGCAATACCCCCCCTTTAATGACCGACCTTCAGAATCATAGACAGGTTTCAGATATTAGAGGTGAACGATGGACCCAAACGACCCACTCATTGGTTACCATTTGCATGTTTCCGAGCAATACAAGACCCTGTCTATATAAGACTCAAACTCACTGCGGATCCAGACATTTGAATTGAGAAAGCTTCCTGGAGAGGTGGCGAAACGTTATTTTTAATTTTTACGGAATGACTATGACCTGGATGACTGAGAATCTTCATCAGCAATTGCAGAGGTCCTGAAGAAGAGGGGTCAACACTGCAAAATTGACTTGCTGCATTAACTCATTCTGTCATTTAAAGCTTTTGTTACTCATAATATGATTGCAATTTTATTTATGTATGTGATGACAACATCTGACATACACACATGAAAACCAGAGGGCAGCAGATCATGTGAAAATATAATATTTGTGTAATTCTCAATACTTTTGGCCATGACTGTAGACTCTCTGGCTCAGAGACTGATGGTTAATTTGCTAAATATGCTAATTTATCAACAATGTAAAATGCTGATACATTCTGGCTTTATCATCATTTTCATTTAGCTCTAAAAACTTTAAACACTGATTAAAAGTAAGACAGTTCTCTCTCACACACACGCATTGTGAGCTTGCCTCTACAAGCTTACGTAAAGAAATAATAGCTTCATATCAAGAAGGCTAGAAATTAATATTTTGCTAGAGGGGATTTATCCTAATCAAGAGTGTTATGGTGTGAACTGAGTTAAGGCTAAATCCTCTTCGGCTAAAACCATATTTTCCTCTCCTTTATGTCTTCAGGAAAACTAAATCGATTAAAATCAATTAGAAACAGTTGGCAACTGAAAATCAGTTCCAGGTGGGAACTGATTTTCCTATTACACCTTTTCTAAATTGATCATTTTCAAGTGCTTTCAAGTTAAAAATCTCTACAGAACACAACTTATAAAAGATAGATATAAAACATAAAAAGTAAGAAAACACACTTACCTACAAAAAAAAGGACTACTACTTTTTTTTTTTTTTTAACCTTACACGATCAAGAAGTTTTGTGGTGATGCTGAGAAAGTGCAAAAGGGAACCAAAAGCTGGCTGGCTAAGCTGCATTGTGATGCAAAAGCAGCACTGCAAGCTATCAGCTCCACCGATACCTTAGCTGTATCATAGGCACCAAGAGTGTATGTGTTTCTGTGAGACTCACTCTGCAGACAGACATCTGGTTGGTGGTCAAAGTACCAGTTTTGTCAGAACAGATGACAGAGGTGCAGCCCAGGGTCTCTACAGAAGGCAAGCTGCGGACGATAGCGTTCTTCTTGGCCATGCGTCTGGTGCCTAGAGCTAGGCATGTAGTGATCACAGCAGGAAGACCCTCAGGAATGGCAGCAACAGCCAGAGCCACAGCAATCTTAAAGTAATAGACTGCTCCACGGATCCAAGAACCCCCATGGACAGGGTCGTTGAAGTGGCCAATGTTTATGATCCACACAGCGATGCAAATTAGGGAAATAACTTTGGAGAGTTGCTGACCAAATTCATCCAACTTCTGCTGCAGAGGTGTCTTCTCTTGCTCAGTTGCTGCCATCTCATCACGGATCTTACCAATCTCTGTGTTGACTCCTGTGGCCACGACCACACCCACAGCCTTCCCAGCTGAAATGTTGGTACCCTGAAACAAAATACTTTGCTCAACAGAACCTCATAGTAACAACAACAACAACAAAAAAAACTAACTGATTAAGCTTTTAGGAGGATGTTTGAAAGAAAGTGTGTAGTTAAACTCTTACAGAAAAGAGCATGTTCTTCTTGTCTTGATTGACCGCTCGAGGGTCAGGGACAGGGTCAGTGTGTTTGATGACAGAAACAGACTCGCCTACAAGAACCACACAGAACATCAGGTCAAATCAGCTAAAACTTGCCTGGTGACTGATTTATTCTACAACCACTCTTCTTTTGTACAGCCCACCCATAAGGCAAACCCTTTTAAAGTAAATGTTTTATTTATTTTACAAAAGTGACTTTTTTCAGTCCTTTAGTCAAGTAAAACAATGGCAAGGACTCAGATATGTATGTATGTATGTATGTATGTATGTATGTATGTATGTATGTATGTATGTATGTATGTATGTATGTATGTATGTATGTATGTATGTATGTATGTATGTATGTATGTATGTATGTATGTATGTATGTATGTATGTATGTATGTATGTATGTATGTATGTACGTACATACGTACGTATGTATGTATGACTGATAAACAAGAAGCTCATGTCAAACCACTTCTATGGGGTAAATTCTTTAGTACAGGTGCCAGAGCAATATAAAGCATCAGGATATGTAGTAATGTTTTTGATAACATTAAGCACAGAGAACATACAGATTGTTGTGATGACTTATATCTGTGTTAATTTGTTACATTTTTTAACAATGTGTATGTCAAGTATGATCCCTTTACTTAAATATCAATGTCTAGTATGATCCCTTTACAATATATATGGTTAATTCATTCAAATGTAGTATCGGCTCGGTTTCAGGCTCAACGTCATCTAGTAGAGGGTACTGTGCAGTTCCAAACTGAAAGACTGATTTTGCTCAGGCAGCCTTTGACTAAGAGCCACGCCTACCATGAACTCTTCCAGTGGAGCTCAGAGAGCAAGTTATTTTCAAAGAAATGTAAAATTATGGTTGGGCTTTGAGTCAGTGAGTAAGTCAGTGTGTAAACATTTGTTCTGATATTTTAATCAATTTGTTTTTCATGGAATTCTTATTCTGCTGCAAAATAATTAAAACATGTATTTTATTTTTTTGGTGGCGTCATCTGCCCAAAAGACTGTGGCTGAAACCTAGATTATACAGCTAAACCAGCATATTACACAAATCTTTATTACTGTAATATGCCAGTTAATAGTTTAAAGCCATTACTTTAATGTTTCAAAGTATAAACATTTTGTATTAGTTTAAAAATGTGGTTCTTAACAAAAAAAAATACCATGAAACAGAAAAGGAAAATTAATGCTATCAAATTTCTATTATTGTGAGTTAAAAACTGATTAAAAAGGTCAGTCAGAGTTTATCGACTAGCATGAATTTATTCTCACCTGTCAGAATGGACTGGTCTACTCTCAGAGTTGTTGACTTGATGGAACAGATGCGTATGTCTGCAGGCACTTTGTCTCCAACTACAATGAAAAAATGCTACGAATTAGTGAAAGTACCCAAACAGGCAGGACTAAAAGACAGAGCCTACTCAGGCCATTGACTTTAGTCTTATAAATAAACGATTGCTGCTGCTGAAGCAATTGAGATATAAATTAATCACCAGTTGAGCAGCTCCTAAATTCAGGAGGCGTTGTTATGCAAACAGTACATGGAAACGCTCACACACAATGTGCCATTTTCCCCTAAAATGGGCTGCACAATGTATCAAAAAAAGTTCATCAGCACACAGACACACACACAGTATTTTCTTACTATATGTAGTGTGGACCATGTATTCATAATAGGAGCATTCATTTTCAGGTATTTTTTTCAACCCTTTCAATGCTCTAAACCTGACAAAAACCTTTCACCTTACCATTACCCAGGGATGTGCGTCTGACTGCAAGTGAGACAGAGCCTCTGGCTAATGTCTTTAACCATTTACATTTAATCTTTGTTAGTGAAATAGGTAGTTTTGCTGATGGGACATAAAGCCGCATGGAAAGAGCACAGGGTGAGGCAGGGCAGTACTCCGCCACACTGAATGGGGCGATGAGCCAACACAGAGGTTGACCAATTCAGGAAAACTTTCCTTCCTGGGTGATCATCTCTATTTAGGCCAAGAGACTTTTAAAACTAAAGGAAAATAAGAAGGACTTTTGCTACAAAGTAACAGAGGTTTTTGTGGCTAAGGAAAGGCGTGTGGTCTTCATCTGCATTTTGGCCAAAAATAAAATATATCACTAAACTTCAAGTTTCAAATCTGTCTTTTTATATGCTACTCTATACTCTCAGTTGTGTTGTATGAATTGTCTAACGGGTGACACACGGAAGGTGTGGAGCAAATGCCACTTTCTCTCACTGCTATAATTGTAATATTTTTTCTCATCTTTAATACGTACCTTACGTGTGATAGAGAGTGTGTGTGAAAAACGCTACAAAATAACCAGCAGCCAATTGAATAAGCTACAATTTTAAGTTGATATATTTTTAAATTTTACTCGAAAGGAGTCAGTGCCTCACCAACCATGAACCTCACCACACATCACTGCCAATACCAGTGCATACCTATCCCTTAAATTCAATTCACACCATAACACTAAACCTGACCCCTTGCAAAACAGCTTGTGGGGACTAGGAAATGACCTAAATTAGCAAAAACTGGACCTCGCTTTACTGGTAAAATAAGAATAATGGCTCTCACTCGGATGGCCAAACAGGAACACACACACAATCACGCATGTGCCTGGTTAAAAGCTGTCGTTGGGTAGTTGGTGCAATGAAGGCTAAGTAAATGAGAAGTGTATTTTCTGAAAGCAGCAACTCAGCATTACAGTAGTACAGCAGCTCAATACATGGACTCTTCTCAGCCATGTTTGCTGTGCCCCCCAGGAGGAAAACAACACAGCAATCACTGTCAGGAAAAGAGAAGAGAAATGAAGGACTTAAGAGCCATAAAAGGCCGTTCTGTAATGAGCAGGCCAATTTTGAGGCAAAGTATTTTATGTGATCCTATTTAACACTGCAATTTTGCATATGAGGGAATAGAAACTGCAGAAATGGGTTATGGTAGGGCACAATTCCACGGGAAAATGTACTTATAGACCTGGTAATTTACTAATGTAAGTTGTGTCAAAACATTTTAGACCTACAACAATAGGAGGATTTGAAGCTGTTTTGGAAACTGCTGGGCTTGTATCAGATGCTTTGAAGCCTCTGCAGGTCCAGCAGATTCCAAAACAGCTTCTTCCCCACTGCCATTAGACTGCTGAATATTGAATAGGACCAGGTGTTGTGAATTGGCACTTTATAAATAGACTGAACTGAATTGAATTGAACTTGTACGTACCTAGGGCATGCTATGGAAAATACAACTTTGGTCTTCATAATGCCGTTTGTTCACCTACAGTCTCTATACAACTCTGAGGCCTTTGGTTGCACTGAATTCCCCAGCATTCCTTTCTTCAGTTCAACTTTTAAAAAACCAATCGGCAACTAGACTATTCCTTGTAGATTGATCAAAATACTCTATAAATGAGCAGTGTTATGGTCCTGGCTCTGATGGTTGGTTTTGTCATCTGCCCCTGCTCACCTGTCTAATTGGCCCTGCAGCTGTTTCACCTGGTTCCCACAGCTATTTATGCTGTTTGCTTGCCTGCCATCAGCGCCAGATTATTCTACCTGTTTCAGTGAGAGTAACTCTAGTGTTGAATTCTCCTTGGATACCTCTTCGGCTCTCTGATCTCTTGGTCTGTGAATCTGGTTTGGACTGTACTTGGGCTTTGGATTATCCCTCACGGACACTACTGCTTGCTCAGAGTCGGCTGGCGCAATCTCCCCTGCACCCTGTGCTCTGAAGTCGAAATGATCCTACGCAGTGGACAATCTCCCCCTGGGTTCGTCCTCTCTCTTCTAACTCTGAATTGGACTGAATCTGATAACCCCCCCAGAAGAAGTTCTGGCACTCCCTTTTTGAAATAAACTTGTTTCAAACCGTCCTGTTTGTCTGCTGAATATTGGGCCCATGTTTCTGAGGTCATTACACATTACACGGAAACGTGAAATATTACATTTTCTATTTTGAATGTTTAGCTTTGGGTACTACTGGTGGTGGGCTCTGTAGACATAAATATGATTGGGACTTCATTAAATGGTTTAATTTGATGGAAGACAGGAAATTACATGCTTTATTAAAGCCATATGACAGTGAACAAAAGGAGTGGAGAAGAGTAACTGAGCAGGATCTACCTGTATCTGTTTTTTTTATATATATATTATGTGTTACATCACAGGAAAAAAAATAAAAAGACATTACATTTAAATGACCTTGTAAGTAGGGAGTGTTTTTTCCCAATTTCATTATTTCAGCGGTTTAAACACCATCTAATTTGGAGCATTTGTTCCTTCCAGCTTTGAGTGGCAGCTACACCTGCTGTATCTCAGGGGACAGCAGTCCCGGCTTTCTCAGAAACAGCCTAAAGGCTCTATGTGCTGATAATAGCTGAACAAAGACTGGTATCCTGTCATGTTGAAAGGGCCCCTTCACATCAACAGGCTTCCCAGTGCATCTCCCACTGATAAGGTCATCAGCATCATTTATTTGAGTGCAGATACTCAACATGAATTCAAAAACCAACACCATGTAAGGAAAGAAACCCCAAACATTTCGCTATCATTTCTAAAGTATTTTAAGTAGACATGTTGTGAATTGGTGCTATATAGATAACTGAATTCAATAGAAAAATTGATAAATCATTAAAAGTAGAGAGAAACTGAAGAAAGCCTATCAAGGGTTCTGTGTCTGCAAATATGCTGTTTACTTATTTCCTCCATGTTCATTTTACTGTGACCATTTTAGGGCTGCAACTAATAATTATTTTGTCAAAAATGTTTTTCAATTAATGGAATGGTATTCGGATATCAAAAGGATCTTTAAAGTAGATTTTTTATACAGAATTTAAAACACATTGAAGCAAAAACTATACCAAAAGAGAGAATATTAACAGCCAAAAATGTTTTATGATTTGGGTATAATTAATGCTTTGAGGAGGTTGCTCTTTCAGCTTATGGTATCTTTAAGAGTCTCTATAACTATAAAACAATATGTAATGGGTCACCAGTTTCTTGGCCTCTTGTTTGAGGCTTTGATTTATGTAAAGATTTTAGCTTTAAAAGAGAATCAGTTTATAACTGCATTGTATAAAAGCATCATCTATCTGTCGTCTTTTAGGATTTAAATAAATTTCTGTCTCATAAATCCGTAATAAAGAATGCATCACAACACTGTTTGTGCAACCTTGGCAACTGAACTCATCCGATGAAGAAAACTCCAGCCAAGTGATCCTACAGGTATATGGGAGCATATCTATTTGTTATAGTGAGCAGACCTAAGGTTAATTTAGGATTTTAAGTGAAAGAATAACAAATTATAATGCAGAATCATAGCAGAAACAGTGTCACTGTCAGTCTTTATCATTTATGTTATTACTATTTCATCATATAACCATGATACACCTGGACAGACTTAATAGCAGAAAATAAAAAGGGGCTGAATAGCAACATGTCTTTCTACTTCCATTTCTCTTTTAGGGATTATTTAAATTATAGCCAGTGTTTAAAAATTAATTTTCTTTTTATGAAACAGAGGAGAGTAAAATCAATAAAAAATATTTGGGATTTTTGAAAAATGGATTCACAACAATTACCATCAAGGTTTAAAAGGCTCTTTGGGTTAAAGATTTGTATAGACCTAAATCCATGCAATCATGAAAAGGAATACTGGTGTGAGTTCATTTCATTCCTAAAACACCATGCATATAGATTGAATGTATAACATTTTCAGTTTGTATTCAGACTAAATAAATCTATAGAATCACATTTAGCTAAGCCTTAGTTCTGCCAATAGATAATCTAAATACAAACCTTTGTTCCCTTATGTCTGTAGCTATGATAATCTGAGTCTGCATTTCTTGAGTCTGGCTCCCCACTTGGCGTTTAATGCAACCCTTTTGGTCTTCAGACAAGTAAAAGCCTTTTGCCAAAAAGCCATCCCTCAGTGACAACAGACATTTGCCAGACCTCAGTAAATGCCACATACTCTCCCGGGTGTCTGGAATCTTAGTGGTGGGTGCTGATGGGTACAGTAGCAATAGTCCACAGAAAGGGTGGGGAAGTTATCTGCAGAAGCGCTTCCCTATAAGGTGAAGGCTTTCTCTCCCTCCAGTACAATAAAAGCAGGACACCCTATACAAGCATTGGTAGCAGACTTAACAGCAAGCTCTGTGGCTCTGAGAACATCCGAATATGAAAGCCCTCAAGCCCAAACAAAAAACTGGCAACTGATATGTTGCACTGTGTTATGACAGGGATTAAATTCAAGTAAACTAACTTTATAAGCCAGTGTCATTAAACTATCTAATTAATTTAATGACAGTAAATTCATAACCGTTCTCAACATTAAAAAAATGCAGTAACAACAATTCCTAATTTTGTTGTATAACTAAATGAAAAAAATATAATCAGCAGACACTAAGGTTACAGTGGGAAGCACAAAGGTGAGGTTCTGATCAGTTATAAAAGAAGAAAAATCTAAAAACAGCTGAACTGCAGGACTTTCTTCAAGCATTTCTTCCCACAGTGGAAGAACCCACAGAGGACCCATCTATCTCAAATTAGCAGCCATTTAGCAAGGTTCAGCCTCATCACCATCTGCCTCCACGTTGCACAGATCACTTTATAGCTAAGAGAACATAGTCTGACAGGAGCCATTTTAAAAGATGTGTGGAGGATTTAGAAAACATATACAGCTGACGAGCTTGTTCTGGCTGCAGGATGAAACCTCCACTCTTTGTTGCCTCCTGGGATGCTCATAATGCTGACAGCAAGGCTTACCACTACCTTTGTCAGCTTTCAGAGGAGGGGAGCAGGAGGGGAGCAGATTTCATCTTTAAGCTTGCAGAAGAAAAAACATTCAAGCTGCCCTCTGTGATTTTTTTTAACAGAAAAAAATCCAAAAAATAAGGATTTAGATGAAGAATGAAACTCCATTTGTCCTTGTCAAGGTTATCACAAAGTCTAATGTTATTCAATGATCACGACAAGCAGGCAACACACAGGGTGGGACCAGACACCTGTCATTTAAACAACTGTCAGCGCCTCTATAAATACAGCATTCCACAATCTTAACAGCCAATGATGGCTATTAATAAAACCCTCTGTTATGCACACAAACTAAGCATCACTTGAAGGTCAAACTGAGTAACAAGATAAAGGTACAGTTCCTAAGGACTTCAGCATTCCTCAGCACGCCAGCTTCCATTCATCCCTATGCAGTGAGTGGGCACTTTCAAAGCCAAATCTTCACATCTGGAAGGTTTCTAGCTGCTGTATTATGCTGACTAGACCTTCAGGAGGAAAGACTGTGGAGCTAGAATTAATTTAAAGCATGGTACTGATGACTGATGACTTAGAATCTTCAGGAGCTTAAAGCGTGATAGGAAAACTCAGTGTCAGGAGGACCAAGGAGATACATTAAGATACATATTTATAGCAAAATATATAAAAATAGATAAAGATCTGATTTTCCTTTTTTTGGAAACAATGTTTTACTAAAATATTGCAAAATACAAAAATTTTGGAGCGCCAGTCACATCTGAAGTGACTCTTTGGAATAAAGATTTAAACCTTGAGCTTCTCTATAGTGACGAACGTGGACTTAAAGGACTTCTCTGCAGGAGTTAAATAAGTTAATAAATGATTAAATAAAAAAAATATTTATGTCAAAAGATCTAATGTTAAAATATAATATCTACCATCAAAAAAGTTGTTTTGGTCAATTTTAAGCAGTTTTAAAATGTTCCCATATTACATCCAAATGTGACTTTTGAAAGACAGTGTGTATAAGTGGAAAGTAAAGTGCAGGGGAACCTACCAGCCACTTCCACAATGTCACCAGGAACAATGTCTCTGGCTTTGATTCGCTGCACGGTTTTCCTGTCCTGCCGGTACACCTTTCCCATCTCAGGCTCATACTCTTTCAGAGCCTCAATGGCATCTTCAGCATTGCGCTCCTGGTGGGGAAGGCACAAGATTTATCCATCATTTGGATATCATCTGATTTAAGTCACTTTTACAGCTACAGTGCCTTGCAATTTTGGAAATTATAACCACAAACCTTAATTTTACAATGGCCAGTCATGCATATACCCAAAACACAGAAAATTTCTTTATTATTCAAATAAAGAAATATATGCCAAGCGTTAGTTCTGATAGTCTTTATTTACTCGTTTTACAGCTTCTGCAGCTTTAGCTCAAGCTTAATTGAACACCAACATTCAATGAGTATTTCAAGAACTACTTGTGTTTCATCCATCTTTCCATCTGATTTTGCACTTTTTCCACATTTAATCTTGGACTTTTACCTTTTCTTTCCAGAACTATGCTGGTAAAATGTGTCCCTTGTTTACTCAAGCACACATGTGCAACATCTTACATTTGGTCAGGTGGTCTTGTTGTGGTTAATACCACAAAATAATAATTTTGACAAATGTCCCAAAAAAGCAAAGTGTAAAACAAAGATTGGTATCATTGCTCTTAGCAGTGGCTGCAATATTCCAGACATATAAATAATTTAACAGAATTGTGTTTTTCCTTGTTTCTTTGTTAATTGTTTATTATGTTTGAACATATGTGGACGAATTTCCTCTGGGTGAGGTTTGTTGCCATAAACCCCAGATTTGTTAAAACTTGTAGTTGGAAGAAAAATGAAAATCTGGAAAAGCTGTATACTGCAGTATCAATAGAAATTAAATTAAATAATTCCCCACCTCCCTATAAATGATTTAGTATCTGCAATAAGCTGACTTCAGCATAAAGCAAAAATGTATGCATGTTTTGTTCATATTAGATCCTATATACATCACAAATCTTTTAAACAGTGCGCCCAGCTACTTATCCCCCTTTTTTCTATATTGGAGTTTAGCGCTCTGAGCTTTTGTGTGTCAAAATCTAGGGATTCTAAATCAGCATCTTAAACAAGCATTATTATATTCCAGGAAAGCTTGACAATCCCTGAAACAGTTTTCCTTTCAAATTTTGTAAATCCATTAGGACACTTAATCCAACATGCATCAGCAGTCGCCATGATAAGAGCTATATGAATAATTCTCCAGTGAGGAAGGAGGTAGGAAATGAAGGCAAGATAGTACCTTTCGATCAGCTGGGCTGAGAGAATTATAGCAAATGACCTTAAAAAACTCAATAAGCTCATAAAACAGGCCTGCTCTGTTCTAGGATCTTCTCTGGAGAGATTCTACCTTATGAAGTAGAACTCTTCAAAGAACATAATGGACAACAGTCAGCATCGTCTTCAAAAGATTGTTAAACAACAACAGAGTCTTTCAGAATTCTAGCAAGATAGCAGGGAATAGTGTTTCATGGTGTCTAAATTTCAGAATTTTCTGGGGGAGGATACCCCAGACCCCCCAAAGCGCACAAAGCCTAAAGATGTGATACAACAATTAATTGAAAAACTGCCCATGAGTCCCAGCAATATTTAATTTTCTATTTGAATCAATAAAGTCGTTTTTAAATCAAATTGAATTGACAGGTCATCAGTGGCGATTTCTCATTGAATACTAGAGAGGCTAAACCCCCCTTGTAAATATCATAAAATTATCGATAGATGTACATCATCAAACCTCATAAATTCAGTCATTAAGTTGCATGAAAAATTTGTGCTATAGGTGACATTTCTTTAATTGTTGTTTTTGTAGTTCTTTTGTGGAAGGCAGTAGTCTAAATTGAGAAGCATCATTAATGTGCATTTCTGTCACACAACATAATGAGGGAATGCTAAAGGCTTCACAGATTCAGCACAGCAGTCCAGAGTTCATTTGCTACCCACAATATATTTCTAATTGATGACTCCAAAAAAAGATGAAGGGAGAGGAGCTAAGGACAGAAGATAGAAGCAACAATTTTAGGAGTGTGGATGGAGCCACAGTCTTCCAGCAATGTAATTGCACCTATTGCACAGCTTTAAGCATAAGTGTCACATTAATTGTTGAACCCTAAAAAAACTATCATTAACTTTATTTTTTTTAAAGTGTCCTGTCTGGCAATGTGGCAATAAGAACAATTGTCTTGATGCCAAGAAGAGCCCAACACGTTTTACTTTCACAAGTGTAGCAGTACGGCAATTGCCATATTGCTCCACTTATTTAATTCATATAAATTGCTTAATTATAATTATGCAGGGAGTTTTACAGTTTATATGGACACTGCAAAGTAAATAGAACAGAAGAGGAATAACAGAAGAAAAAAAGAGAAAAGATGAAAGTAGGATGAGATAAAAAGGAGACAATGACAAAACATTTTCAATCTGCTTCATCACCTGCAATGAGATGCAAAAAGAACAGCACAACCGAAAGACATGGTACGAGACATACACTAAAGCAACACCTTGAAACTATTGCTGAAGTAGTAATATTTAGTCTGACATGAACTCTGTGTTAACTGAAGATAAGAATATGGGCTTTCTGTATGGAAGTGAATCTCTGAGTACCTGGAACCAAGCACCTGTAGTTGTTTGTGAGAGTGCACTTGTGCATGTAAAGTTTATCCATAGAAAAAATGCTCGATAGTGGTTGTGGAGAGCCGAAGAGGCTCCCCCACAGAGCAGTGAGTCCAGCGCCGGGAAACCCAAAGCCCCAGACACCCAAAGGGACCCCAAGAGCGAAGGCACCAAGGAGGGCCCAGCCCAGCATATCAGACCCCACCAAGGGAGGAGGAGAGACAGCCCCGAGGAAGTCCCCCAGCCACCACAATGCTGGCGCCCCGGGGAGCCGCGAGGGCAAGTCCGCGGGCTCCGCCACCCTGAAGTGAATCCGGCCCTGGGCCCCAGGGGCGCCCGACCCCTAGGCAGGAGCCCCAGCCCGGCCCCGGCCGGCCGGGCCCCGCGGAGAGGCCGCCAGGAATGAGGCCCCCACACCCCGAGCTCCAACAGTGCACCGGCGAGCCCTGACGCCAGCTAGCGGAGGGAGAGCAGGACGGGGGGAACAGTTTCAATCACGCCTTCCCACCCTAGTGCCCCCACTCGCACCACAGAAGAAGAAGAAGGAAAAAATGCGGACACACATTCACACATAACACTCACATCCAGGATTATCGGACGACCCAATAAGTGAACCTAAAATACGGATGGGGGGAGGGGAGCAACGACACTGCCACACCAACCCATCTCATTCCTGCTTCGAGCCCGGCCTCTCACCCTGCACCCGAACCAGACCACCCCCAGCAAAAGCTCCCCCGGGATCGGGGCCCACCAATCCCACGCAGGCCACCCAAACAACAAAATTTGTGTTTTGTGGATTCTATTCTATTTTCAATTCAATTCAATTTAGTTTATTTATATAGTGCCAATTCACAACAGGTCATCTCAAGGCACTTTACAGTTCACCAGATCATACAGTCAAATTGATTCAAAGTTTTCTATCTAAGGAAAGCAGCTGATTGCATCGACTCATTGACTCGAAGGCAATCCCTCAAACTAAGCATGCTTGTAGCGACAGTGGAGAGGAAAAACTCCCTTTTAACAGAAAGAAACCTCCAGCAGAACCAGGCTCAGCGGCTATCTGCCGAGGCCGACTGGGGTTTAAGGAGACAGAAGCAGATGCATGTAACTGGATATTACATATTTATTTTAGGCAAACTTTTTGAAATGTCAGTACTTGCATATTATTCAATATGTTGTGCAACATTTGTTTAAATACAAAATCAGAAGAAGAGTAGCAAGTACAGTACATATCTTAGCCTAACTTATTTCTAGAATGAATACTTTTTGCTTTTATTTATTAAAAAATACAATGAAGTGGTGCACTCTTACCTGAGTCAATTTTTTAGCTACTTTACCGACCTCTAGGTAGAAACAAAGAGTAAAGACCCCAGTTGGCAGAGGATGATTTTAATGGAAAGATGGTTGGAAAGGAACAGTTTAGATCTAAGCATGTTTGTGTGTTAAAATGACCCAAAGTCCAGACCTAATTATTACTGAGAAACTGTCCCAATCCTTAAAAAGTGACCTTTGAAGCAATCTCATCCCATTCTGAGTTAGCTAGAATACTTTTTCTGAAGGAGATGGAGAAAAGTTAAAATTGGGGAAAACAGAAAATTCTTTCAGAAAAAGAAATAATAATTCAGATATCTGTAGTATGGCCAACCCTATAGACATTTTATGGAGTATAATTACTTTTTTTGTGGCACTGCACATGTGTGTATTTCAGTTTTACACAAATCTAATCAAAACATTTACTGTTGTCCTCCCTGGTTTTTCGCTTCATCAGGTCATTATTTCTAAGCCAGGCAAATATAACTCAGAAAGGCCAGCCCAAACATTGTTTTATTGTTTGATACAGAGCTTTCTTCGAGAATGTAATATCTTTCAGTACACAGGGTAAACCTAAAGCCCTGCTTAAATCTCACTTGGAAATGCAAAATATAATATTATAATTAAAAGCTTTGAAACAGAATTATTTGTTCGCCCATTGTTCATCTACATTGCCTTGTAGATGAACATTGCCTGGTTTACTATGATGACTGCATTTCACACAAGCCTTCGGGATACATTTTAACGTTTAGCAGTAAACTCCCTCTCTCCTGCAAAATGTCACAAAAACGAGATAAATACTGATTCAAATACACTGACTTCTCACCTGCCAGACTCCCACGATGGCATTGGCTATGAGGATAAGTAGAATTACAAAAGGTTCCACAAACGCTGTGATTGTTTCTTCCCCCTCCTCAAACCAGGCAAGAACCTGGAAGAAGTGAGAGAAAACATAATATTATCATTTATTATTACGATACACTCTTTCTAGGGTTTTCAGAGCAAAGACAAAAAAAGGTAAGAAGAAAATCCATAGAGTGCAAACAGACTTTTTACAGACACATCCACTGAATATAATTGAGGAAGATGTAACAATAAAATGTCAGATACTTTTATACCAAATCTGATTAATTCATTTCCAACCTCCCTTTTGTTAGTTAGAAATTACAGGAATCACTAGTGCTTTTGTTACAATCATCATCCTCGATTCCAGGGGATCTAGGGATTCCCATGAGAGATCGGAAAGCAATCAAATCAATGTGGAGGCTCTAGTTTTATGATCAATAAACACCAGAACCCAAAGGTTCTCAAGCCAAGCTCCCTTGTCGTCTCAGCTCGGAACCCATTCCGCAGCTCCTCTGTTGGACCTCTCCTGGTTTCTCAATTCAATTCAATTCAGTTTATTTATATAGCACCAGTTCACAACACAAGTCATCTAAAGGCACTTTACAATTCAACCAGATAATACAATCAAATTGATTCAAAGTTTTCTAAGGAAAACCAGTTGATTGCATCGACTCATTGACTCAAATGCAATCCCTCACACTAAGCATGCTTGTAGCGACAGTGGAGAGGAAAAACTCCCTTTTAACAGGAAGAAACCTCCAGCAGAACCAGGCTCAGTGTGTGAGGCCATCTGCTAAGGCCAACTAGGGTTCAAGGACACAGAAGCAGAGATACATAAAGCAGCTGTAAAAGGCGGCCCCGTCCAGGAAACACACAGCCAGGCAGACAAGCTCCGAGCCAGCTCCCATGCCAGAGGATGAAGAGGGCACATCCAGCCAGTCACAGCCAGAGAAACAGGACTACACTAGAAAACAGGTCGATCTCCAGCATCTATAAACAAGGGTGTTGATGGAAGCAGCACAGCTGACAATTCTCTCCAGGATGGTGTCACAGCCAAACAGGAACAGACGAGGAAAAGCTACTATGAGAAACAGCAGAGAGAGCATAACGTTAGAGATTGAACTAACAGATTCTGCAGATTGAAAGAATAGAGACGGAATGAAGCAGAATGATCAAATGGGGGTCCCTATGTCCTCCAGAAGACTAAGCCTATAGCAGCATAACTATAGAGATAGTTCAGGATAACCTGAGCCACTCTAACTATAAGCTTTATCAAAAAGGAAAGTTTTATTTTTTATTTATTTATTTGTTTATTTGATAGGGACAAGTATGTTTCATGCATCATGTCACACACTACAACATTTTAGCTAAGGCTAATTTTCAATGTGTGTCCCCAGTTAGGCTTTTACACAAAACACAGTGACTGTACACAAGAACAACAGAACAAATTACACACTAAAACATCACAGAAATAAAATCAGGTCAGTTAGATTATTAATGTTTACATGACTGACCTCTCAATAAAAAGTCTTTAAGTTTATGTTTAAAAAGGATCCAGTTTGACTCTCCCTTCAGTTCTGCAGGTAATGTATTCCATGTTTTGGTGCCTTGTACAATGAAAACTGATTGACCGGAAGAGGTTTTGCTTCTGGGTACTTGACAGTTTCCACTGTGGTCTCCTCTTGTGACTGAGCCCACAGCTCTGAGAGGAACTACACAGTCGCTCAAACCTTAGGGGCCTTATCATGCAAGTATTTGTAAACCAGTTTTAACTGAGCAAATTTCACAAAGTTCTCGAAATTCAGCATTTTTAAATTGTTCAGACTAACACAGTGATGGGACCTGAATGGTTTTTTTATCTAAGGTTTTTATAGCTCTATTATATATCATCTGAAGAGGCTTGACAGTAGTGCTTGTGGCCTGTGACTACTTTTAAGCCTAGTCTTAAAAGTAGACAGAGTGTCTGCCTCACGGACCAAACCTGGTGGTTGGAGAGGAGCTCTCAGCTGACAATCGAGAACTACCTTCCCTGTCGCAGGAACGCTTTACCCTAAACTCACGCCAATTGTTGAGAAAACAGATTGAAATATGAATGAAAAGTTAACTTTAACATAACATATATTTTTAATGTTTTAATATTTCTTATGCATTGATGCCCTAAAAATTGAGAGTTTTGGTGGACAGATAAATTTGACTGAATAGGATTTTAACTTGTATGGAGATACGATGTGCCACAGTCAGTGTTAGATGAAATAAATTCTCTGCTCAGTGACAACCTCAAGCTTTTAAGACAGCTATCATTAAATCTTTACGTAACTTTATTCCTGTAAACTTTACTCTTGTAACTATATATATATTGTCACACACACATACTGCTAAGGTTGCCCTTTATCACAGATTCTGTTCATAACTTTTATGGGCAGAATTTCTTTGAGCAACCAAGGAGTTGAGGGGATCTGCCTAGGTGGCCTTAGGATTGCATCTCTGTTATTCGCAGATGACGTGGTTCTGTTGGCTTCATCAGGGCAAGATCTACAGCTCTCACTAGAGCGGTTTGCAGCCGAGTGTGAAGCGACTGGGATGAGGATCAGTGCCTCCAAATCCGAGACCATGGTCTTGAGCCGGAAAACGGTAGAGTGCCATCTCCAGGTTGGGAAGGATGTACTGCCCCTAGTGGAGGAGTTTAAGTATCTTGTGGTCTTGTTCACGAACGAGGGGAAGATGGAGCGAGAGATTGACAGGCGGAGTGGTGCAGCGTCTGTTGTGAAGCGGGCCCTGTACCGCTCTGTTGTGGTGAAGAGAGAGCTGAGCCAAAAAGCAAAGCTCTCAATTTACCGGTCAATCTATATTCCTACCCTCATCTATGGTCATGAGCTTTGGGTCATGACCGAAAGAATGAGATCCCGGATACAAGCGGCTGAAATGAGTTTTCTCCGTAGTATGTCTGGGCTCTCCCTTAGAAGTAGGGTGAGGAGCTCAGTCATTCGGGAAGGGCTTAGAGTAGAGCCGCTGCTCCTCCACATCGAGAGCAGCCATTTGAGGTGGCTCGGGCATCTGATTAGGATGCCTCCTGGATGTCTCCCTGGTGAGGTGTTCCAGGCACGTCCCACCGAGAGGAGGCCCAGGGGGAGACCCAGGACACGCTGGAGGGACTATGTTTCTCGGCTGGCCTGGGAGCGCCTTGGGATACCCCAGAGGAGCTGCCCGAAGTGGCTGGGGAGAGGAACGTCTGGGCCTCCCTACTGAAGCTGCTACCACCACGACCCGACCCCGGATAGGCGGAAGAAGATGGATGGATGGATGGATGGATGGATGGATGGATGGATGGATGGATGGATGGATGGATGGATGGATGGATGGATGGATGGATGGATGGATGGATGGATGGATGGATGGATGGACATACTGTATATAATTAGTTGTTAGGTTAATTTGCTTCTCTAAATTCTACTTAGGCGTGAGTGTGTGAATGGTTGTTAGTTCTGTTTGTCTCTGTCTTGCCCTGCGATAGAATGGCAAGCTATCCAGGTTGTACCCCGCCTCTTCCCTGTAGACAGCTGGAGACAGGCACCAGCAGCCCTTGCGTCCCCGGTTGGGATAAGCATGACGGAAAAATGGAATGGATGCACAAACATACCCAACCACCCACCCACCCACCCAGACAGACAGACAGAGATAAATATAGATAGATAGAGATAGATAGAGATAGATAGATTTAGAAAACCATCATATTAAAAAAGACAGAACATATTAAAGTGATGATTCATTGAAGCAGCAGAAGCAGTGGGTCAGAGCCCAAACTGATCATGGAGGTGTGCATTTGCTGAATGGAAAGCCGTCCCACAGTGCTGAAAGGCCAAATTTGGTCTGGAGTAGTTGCCTGTTCCTTTGTCTGACAGCAGACAATGACACCTCTGTATCACCTGACAGACATGGCAAACTACATACCAGTTCACAGGCATAAACAGGGGGAGGCTTAATTATCACTATGTCTTTCTGTATTATGGACTAGCAAAACGTGTTTTTGGTTAGTCTAAGATCATCTTGAAGCACTAATAAATAAATAAAAAATTATATTCCAAGATTAATTTAAATTACAATATTAACTGTTGTTTACAAAATCTGGAGTTACATTCCTTAAATGCTGTTCACCCACTACAAAACATTTTCATGTAAGCACTTAAAATCAAAAGCCAAGGTGAATAATTCCAAAGAATTAAGGCTTAGTGTCTCATATGTCTTTATGGCTAAATATAAACAAGATTGATTCTATTAAAAATAAGATTACTAAACTGATTCCTGACACTGTCCTGGATTCTTCTTCAGATCTCTGATCTAAATGCCCTGACTCCTGAGCACGTCCTCGACGCTGGCTTTCGCTGGTACGAACCTGGTACGAACTTGATCCTCTGCACAAGGACTGAACTTTAAGACCAGTTTAGTGACTCACACGTTCGTTATCATCCTCTGCCAGTTAGACATGGTCACTAACCAGTGTTCTCCCCCTGCAGAGGTTCCTGCCTTACGGTTCTGTTTAAGTTTTATCTCTGAGTTTTCATTGGTTTCATTTCCATTTCATGTTGTTGAAGTTATTTTTGATTGTTATTCCCCGGCGGCAGTGTGTTGCAGTGAGCTTGTCACAGGTATGACGCAGACATGTTTGATTTCTACTCGATTTTAAAGCCTGGCCCACACTATGTCATTCCTTTCTCATCTAAAATTCTTTAAAAAGTAGTTGTCAAACAAGTGTGTGGCCACTTACATCATAATTAACTTTTTGAAGGGTGTCAATCTGGCTTAAGAGCTCTTCATAGCACTGAAACAGCTCTGGTGAAAGTCACAGAGTCTCATGGTTTTGGTTCTGTTTAAGTTTTACCTTTGAGTTTTCAGAGGTTTTATTACCATTTTGTAATTTGTAATTGCTATTTGAGTTCTTAGGTATTTCTCGCTTGCACTTGCTAGCTCCCTTCTAGACTCCTCTGTCCACACCTGCTCCCAATCTGCTGATTAGCCTGGTCTTTGTTTCTGTCTCCCATATATACACCTCCGGCTCAGTCACTGTTGGCTGCTTCATCATCTTTTCTTTGTCCTTGTTGTGAGTATTCATGGTTTTTAGTATTTTGTGGATTCAATGGCAATAGTCTATGGCAATAGGGAAGAAGCAATAGTCTTTGGATTATTGCTTCTGTTGACACCTTTTTAATAAAATCTACAAGAAACACCTTCAGCTTCAGTCTCTGCATTTGGGTCCTGTTCTCAAACCTCCACCCAACATGACACTAAGGATAGTCCTATGGTGTCAGAAAATACTTGTATTTGTACTTGTCCTGTGAGATCTCAGTGCTGCATTTGATACTGTTGATCATAATATTTTTTAGGAAGTTACATTTGTAGGGATTAAGGGAACAGCACTTGGCTGATTTAAATCTTATTTATCCCACAGATTTCAGTTTGTTCACATTAATGATAAATCTTCATGCTCCAGGGTTACCTGTGGAGTACCACCGGGATCAATGTTAGGGCAATTCTCTTTACTATATATATATATATATATATATATATATATATATATATATATATATATATATATATATATATATATATATATATATTAGGGGTGGAACGGTTCACAAAATCCACGGTTTGGTTCGGTTCACGGTTTCATGCTCATGGTTTTCGGTTCGGTTCGGTATATGTTTATTGTTACACCGAAAAATAAAAAAATTATAAAAATTATAAAAATTAATGAAAAATAAAAATTTATGAAATTAATGAAAAAAATCAAAAGAAATTAATGAATTGTAATTATTTTTAGGAGACCCTGGATCATTTCCACATGTTTTGCTGCTTTGAATTTAATCATCTCGGGCATGTACTACGATCTCCAAGGAATTCAGAGCGGACGGGAGCCACAGTGGAGGCTTTATGCTTTGCTTTGTGCAGGCGGTCTGGTGCGCAGCAGGACGAAGCGGAGCGCTGACGGAGTATGTGGGATTTCGGGGTTAGCATGACATGTTGGTCATGTTGCTGTTAGCAGAAACAAAACGTGTTGCACAATGCTTGCACACTGTTGCACTTTTATCCACAACTTTCTTTCCGCCGTCATCGTAGGTCACTCTAAATGCAAAGTGGTCCCATACAGCAGACCTATAAAGTGCTGCTGGCGCGTCTTCCAACGCCTGTTCTTTCCCACTCGCCATACGCACAAAATTCTCCACAACAACTGATTTTTTTCTGCCATTCTTCCATTTGCACTTTAACCTATCAGGAATGTCAGCTGCTCATTACTCCTGATCTCTGCCACTTGCATCTTGTTAGCGGCTGCTGAGTTTGTGTATTTAAGGTACAGGTCTTAGCCATTCAGTGTAAGTCAGCGATTCAGATACCTGTTTCTTGGCCTTCCGCAAACTGATCTTCTACCTATTTGACCTGACCTGCTCGTCCATATAACAACAACTTTCCTACCCTGGATTACTCTGTCTGTGCCTGCCAACTCCAGCCTCAGTCAGTACTGGTATCTGCTGGTGTTTGTACCTCAGTCCAGCCACTGGATTCACTGCCTCCACTCAGACACTCACTCTCGACTTCCCCTATTCCTTTTAATCAATAAATGTCACCTTCTGGTTTTTGTGAACACTTCGGGTTCTCCTGTCTCATACCTGACAGTTAAATCCAGAAAATAATTTAAAATCTGCTTCCTTACATATAAAGCCTTAAATGGAGAACCTCAATCTTATATCAGAGATCTGATTGTACCTTATGTTCCTAACAAAGCATTCCACTTTCAATCTGCAGGTTCATTACTGGCTCATAGAATTTCTAAAAGTAGAATGGGAGGCAGATCTTTCAGTTATCAGGCTTATGTCCTGTCGAACCAACTACCAGTTTTAGTCCGTGTGATAGACACCCTGTCTACTTTAAGGCTTGGCTTATAGCTACAGTGTGTAATTTTCAGCGACATCTAACGTTCAGACTGCAGACCGCAGCAACATGAACATCTCACCCCCACCGCTTCTCCCCCCCAACAGTACGGCGAGCGTTACGGGACAAAATGTCTTCCACGACATCTGCATCACCTACCTTCTCAAGTGATGAGGTTTGTTTACATAGATAATTTTAATACTGCCATCTATTGTTCAGTACCGTCTCAGTTCATCTCTCTCAACTTGCCGTAGTTACTTTCAAGCTCAATGGGCGATCTGGCAATCGCTAGTTTGTTGGCTCTGCGCTGCCGTAGCGCAAAGATGTCTGCCTCCATGGCTGCGAGACCCGCTCCTATGTAATTATAAATAACGAATTCTAAGGCAACGCAAATATTAAGGTTAAGAGGCTGAGCTCGTAGATGATGATAAATAACATAGTTATGTATAATATATTACATTTCTGACTGTATATCCCTGTAATTATTACACAATGTAGCTTTAAGACTTTTCTTTTTGATTAAGCTAATAGAGTGGCTCTGGTTATCCTGATGTATCTCTATAGTTATGCTGCTATAGGCTTAGACTGCTGGAGGACATAGGGAGCCCTTTTCATCATTCTATCTCTATTCTCCCACACTGCAGTATTTGTTCAATCTCTAACATTATGATCCCTTTGCTTTTTCTCATCATATTAGCTTCATCTGGTTTGTTCCTGTTTCGCTGTGACACCATTCTGGAGAGAAATATCAGCCATGCTGCTGGCATCAACACCTTTGTTTATAGATTTTAAAGTTTTTCAGTGTAGTCCTGTTTCTTTTACTGTGACAAACTTTATGTGCTCTCTGTCATCCTCTGACATGGGAGCTGGCTTGGAGCTTGTCTGCCTGGCTGTGTCTTTCCTGGACAGGGCCGCCTTTGGAGCTGGTTAACAGTCACCTTTTGTATCTTTGCTTCTTTCTGTATGCCTACTTATGTCTCCTTGAACCCCAGTTGGCCTTGGTAGATGGCCGCTCACACTGAGCCTAGTTCTGCTGGAGGTTTCTTCCTTTTAAAAGGAAGTTTTCCTCTCCAACAGGCATGCTTGGTGTGGGAATGCTGAAGAGTTAATGAGTCAATGCAATTAGCTGATTTTGCTTAGAGAACTTTGAACCAATCTGTCTGTATGATTTGGTTGAATTGTCTCTATAAAGTGCCTTGAGATGACATGTTGTGAAATATAAATAAACTGAACTGAATGAGTAGACAGATGATAGCAACTCAGCAATTCTGCTACTGTAGTTGTAACCATTCCTCAGATGAGCTGTGAGCCATATCAGCTCTTTAGCTCCTTCCTAAGTAAGTTTAACCTTTGGCAATTATGCAAACTGACTACGTTTACACTTTAGAGCAACTACAGCATGCCATTCATCACCCATGATCTCTTTAAACCCCAACAACAGTTGTGACTTAATGTAAAAATTTGGATAGTGGATAAAGTGAGTTCTTATGCATTTTTTGATAGTAAGATGGTGTTTTAAATCAGAGGACGCGGTACCTAAGATGTAACATGAAAGTAGTACAAATAATCCATGTCTGACTGATTCTTTTTACTTAACCAAAGAAGCAGCAAATCTAAAATGTGCAGATAAACTGAATGATGAAACTGGATTGAGAACTTACAAAAGATATGCATGCAGCCAGCAGAAGAATTCGAACAAGCAGATCTTCAAACTGCTCTAGGACGAGCTCCCATAAAGATTTTCCTGGAGGCGGAGAAATCCGTAAGATAAACAATTGATCAACATCAATTCATCATAGAAACTAATCAGGAAAAACTCCAGAAACAAGTGTGATTACCTTCCTCCGCTGGTAACTCTGTTTTTAGAGATGTGCAGGTTCATCCAGCATGGCCCAAATTGAGAAAAAAAGGAGATTGTTTTACAAGTGATTTTGTTTTGGTTAGACAAACCTTGACAAATGTTAAATTTGTTAAATATAAACATCTGCAATACTCCAATGGTTATTCAATCAGAGTAATAAGTAATTGGAGTAATAAGGTGTCTGTTGGAATCTTTGTTGTCAAACCTTTTCTCAGATTTACCATTTGCATAAGAGATTTGAATGAATATCCCCTGGGACAATTGAGATCAATTCTGAGATGTGATTTCAAGTCCATGATCTGGGGACCATGTCCCTGCATTGATCTGCAAGCATCAGAGCTGATGTGTTCAACAATGACAGTGTTGTTATTCTGTCATACACCAAATAGTTTTTGTAACAGCCTCCAGATGTTTACACACAGCATGAAATATTATATCTTAGATAAACAAATATCATAGAAATGACAGAATGAATTGTTACAAGGGAAATGATGGGAAACCCTGGAGGTCACCGCTCATGACGTCAGCAGGTATCACCGATGATGTCGGGGACTTTTACACTGAATGCTGAACATATAATGCTCACATGAACAAAGCATACGTGACTCCTATAAGAACGATCCTTACAGGTAGACTAGTCATACCGTTTAAGCCCCATTTCTCTTTCTGTCGTTTCACGTCGTCCAGGGAAAGTCCAGTGGATTCATTTACGCAGAAATAATTGTAAACTTCTTCCACAGTCTTCGTGTGAGCGTTTTCCATGGTGGACGGCTCCTTCCCACTTAGCTTCAGCTAAAATTGCAGAGAGACCCTGTGGCTCCTGAAATATTACAGTTCTTTCGGAGGGAAAACAAGTGTACCAGCTGAGAGCTGTGCGTTGTCCCGGTAAAATGTTTCCCTGGTCCCTGATAATTTTATCTTGACGCGAATGGGGGATTGCTTTTTGATTTATTAATTTTTTTTTTTTTTTTTTTTTTTAGCTGAGCCAAACTTCTCTTTCTTTTCTGGATAAATGTTTGTATGAGGCTTCGCTTGTTTCCGCAGTTGGTGTAAAGCGCTGGTTGCTGTTCGGGACCGCAGTCGGTCTAGTCCTCCCGGTGCTGCGTCCTGCCTCACCTTGGAACAGCTCTGTCCCTGCTTTTAGAATAGAGGCTGCGCCTGTTTCCCCTCTCCCGTGTTGCATGTGGACTCATGCCATTGGAGGAGCCCTGACAGCAGCTTTAAAACCAGGGAAAGATTAAAACAACCCAGGAAGTTACTGGGAAGCGAGAGGCTGAAGTATTAATCAATGCTTTTTTTATTGATTTTTGTCCACTTTAGAGGAAAAACAAATCTGAAGTTTTGTATGAATGAATTAAAGTTATAAACTAAACAATTTTTTCTTATAAAAAATATATTTAACTGCATAAGACAAGTGATTCCTACTCTGTTTAAAAAAAAAAAAAAATAAGGTTTAATGTTATCTTTTCACATGCAATAACGTTGTAACAAACAAATAAAACCGGTTTCTTCAACAACTGATATCCTTTTCCATATTTGGCCAATGTACAACCACAAACAGAGATTTTATTTTATTTGAATTTTATCTCAGAGAAATTCTATGTTCACACTTTACTAGAGATGCAACTGTGAAGTGGTCTCCAAGAAGGAACAAAGCAGGCTGTAGTTGACTTAATAAGGAATCTTAGGTGGGGGGAGTGGTGGCCTAGTGGTTGGAGCATATAGCTTGAGGTTGTGAGTTTCAAACCCATTCCCACAGACTGCCAGTCTGTCTCCCTGACCAAAGACCCTTAAACCCCACACTGCTCCCCTGACTCTGCAAAGGCCAGCCCACTGCTCTCCAAGTTAAATGCAGAGTGAATTTTGTTGCATGGTTCAACTGACAGTTTAATGACAATACATTTCTTCAGTGTTTGAAGCAAAGTAGTAGATATCTTTTATATGTTGTGGCAGTGGGTGTGATCTCTTTTGCCATCAACTACTAAGGAAACAAGATCGGCAAAAAAAAAAAAAAAAAAGCTCAGTAAGCTGATAAAGATGACCAGCTCTGGCCTGGGAACTCCTCTAGAACTTCTGTAGATGATTAAAATAAAAATTTAACAAACAAAGCTTCCTCTTAAGAATACTATTAAACACAAAAACAGAATTTCTTCCGTCGATGGCTTCTCCACATCAGCCTCAGAAAATCCTTTCTGCCTTTAATGTTAACTCATTAAAAACCCCATGAGTTGTGATAACACTTCATTTCTCTTTGAGTTTATTGTAATTATTTAGTTTTGAAATTAGTTAGACACAAAGTAATATCAAATGACGTAAAAGGTATTAAAACTATGGTTTGGTTTTTAAAAAATACAGCAAAACTGTGTACTGCATCATGTCAGATATTATATTTAGGTTTTGACTTTCACTCTGCCATTCTAACACATGAGTTATGATCTATATCTAATCATGCATGCCGATATGGTCAGTCATCCAGAGCCACTGCGTTAAAACTTTTAGATACTTCCCCTCTCCAAAACATCGGTAAAGATGGCATGATTTATCCATGTGCATGTCATTCAGCTCTACAGACGACTCCTAACAAGCCAGTCATTTATTTCAAAAGTGTCGCAGAAGGAATTAATATGCAAGTTGCAGGACGGTCATTGTCCCAGACTAGACTTGTGCTGCTGTCATCTAAAATATAACATAATGATGAGGTTAGGTTCAGGTTTATTGACTTGCAGAATGGCAGGATTGCTTTTTAGACTATAACAGATTTTCTTCTGTAACTGCACAGTATTTAGCATCCTCTACCTTCCCATCCAACTCTAACCATGACCCAGCTAAAATAACAATAACCAGTCCTCACAGCATGATTCCGCCACCAACATGTCTCTCAGTGGTGATTGGGTTTTGGGCAATAAACACAAATTTCACTTTCCTTCTGGCTCCTCCGGTAACAATAGAGCTTTTGTCAGTATTTCTAAATCTTTTCCTGCCCAAACTATCAATTTTTGGACAATTGTCTTTCTACATTTACACAATGATCAATTTTGAATTTTTGTTAAACATTTTGTTTAATTGCTAAGTTTTGCTTTAAAATACCATGATACTGTGTGTTCTTTTGTGTTTAAATTGAAATTTGCTCACTGTTCTCAAACGTCTTTAGGGAACAGCGCATCTATAAAGAAATTAAATCAGAACCAGCAAGACTATTAGTTGACTGAACATTTTATTGGTTGACATCAAAGTATAGATGGAGCACAATTAATGCAAATTACAGTTCTCAGATTTGCACATTTTACCTTTAGATTTATACACTTCTCAGTGTTGTTTAATCAGATGAAATCCCCATATACATTAAATGGTCTGATAATATTGTGACAAAAGGTGAGAAAATTCAGTGGGTAGGAATTTTATTGACAGTTCAGAGTAAAGTTGTGGTCATAAATTTACATACACTGGCAGATGGTAAGGACATTTGTCCGCAAATGTTTTTAAATAAAAAAACTGTGATGTGGCAGCTTTTCTCCAGCCAGCTTAATGAACACACCTGCTCTCAATCATCTCATCCTGTTTATTTAAGCGGTCTGTTCCCTTCCTTCCATGTGTCCTGACTCTGCCTCATGTTTTTGGTTACCCCTGTCCTCTTGGCTCATTCTCTGTGTACAGACCTTTGAACTGTCAGTAAACTACTGAATTTTGGAAACTGATATGATGTATCAGTCCTTCCTGCCCAGTTTTTTGTAACAAAAAGTACAACTTTCAAAGTGCAGTTGTTTTAGTTTAAACTGTTTATTTTAATGTACAAATGTATTATTACTATCAATGTTTTTTAATGCCTTTCATTTATTTAATTATTCTTCAACATTTTGTAGAATGTGTAAATCTAAGTTATCAACCCCATTTATACAACTATACAGACATCCTATGTGTTTTAAAGGTAGAAGTACATTAGGTTAATCCTCCAGCCTCATTTCTGTTACTCAAGGGGTATTGCTATCAGATTTTAAGCAGTTCAATATGCCTTCAGAGCACCAGTCTTTCCTTTCCCTCTTCCTGGATGATTTTATCAACAGATACTTGGTTCTGTGCCTTAAAAAAACACTGCCTCTTGCACTCCATCAGCTGCTCCAGGTCACTCCACATCTTCATCTGCTCCATGTTTGTGCTGTGACTCTCCCTCACAATCTTTTGCTCTTCACGCAATTTCTGAAATCCAAAGTAGAAGTAAAAATATTGCAAAAGAATAAAACAACCTTAATATGCATCCCTTAAGTTATGCTGAGATATGTTTTAATATATCTTATAATAAAAAAAATACTATGCAGATAATAAACCCACAATAATAATAATTGATTTCACAATGCTGAAGCATTGGTGCCTTAAATCTTGGTTGCACTCTTATGGAAATGACTGTCATTTTAATTTGGGGCCTTTTATTGAGACATTAAACTCTTATTTTCTTACTTCCTCAGTTTATCTTGAAACATACTTGCAAATATCTACAGGCAAAATCTGTATGATTTTAGCTCTGTAAGCTTCCAGTAAACCTTAGACCATTTTGGACAGAATAAAGGACAAAATACAGAATAATATCCTCTGATTCACCTAAGTCAGCTTGTAGAGGGACTATTCTCACCTTGCCTAGTAATTCCTGTTCTGCAATGTTCTTCATGTACACTTCCCTGCAACAAAGCATAAAAAATACATACAGTGAGCCAAAAGTCATTTATCAGCTCATGTTTACTTTTAAAAAGGTACGGTTGATCAGTTCATCCTTTTTTATATATTTTAAAAGGTGTGGTAATCTGAGCAGAAATAATAAAGCAGCAGCAGGGTTAGTGTAAGAAGAGCCTGCTTTAAGGGAAAATAGATATTCTCACAACAGCTGGCTGACAAGGCCGGACTGGCTCACCTGATCGCCTTCTTCTTTTGTGGATCTGAGGTCACATAGGCCTTCATCTCTTCAGCTGCTCGTTGAATTTGCATCTCGATGATCTACAAATGGCAGAGCTCAAGTTAATTGTAGCCGAGGTGTTTTGTAAAAGGCCAGGAGGTGACAGAAGTTGTACTCCTGCATAAAATATTTGTCTGTCTCCTAATCCATTTACTTCATGACAGTCAATTCTTAAGCCCAACCCCACTTTCAACCACAGATAAGAAAGCCAGAATTGCAGGATTTGCTATTACGGTATTAATCCCTGAGGTTTTCTATGAGGCTAAGGTTATGAAAGTCTAGGTTATCTTCCAAACTAGACTTGTAAATTTATGGCCTTGGAATTTATTTGATTTGGCAATAACTTGTATTTTGGCCAATAAAATTGGGTTATTTGACAATATGCAATTTTTTTTTAAAAATACATACAAAAAAGCCCAGTTTACCTCCGACATTGTGTTGATATAATGGTATCTATTTTCGTTTTGTGCGATATCCTCCCTCAGTGCTTTTACCTCCTGTGAATTAACAAATAAAACAGGTTTCATCGACAAAAAACAATTTCAAACATTTTACATGTCACAATAAAGGCATAAAAAGGATTGAAGTTGACCATACTTGTTCCAGTTTGGATCTGTTGCTCTCTAAACCAGCAGCACAACTTTCATATTGGGCCCTCCTTTTCTCATACTCCTCAATGAGCTGCTATTAAAAGATATTTTCATTGTTTAGACAAAATAAAAGAGGTAAACAGATTGCTAAAAGATACACAATAGCAAACAAAGTACTGAATTCAGTACATTACCCTAGCTGGTATTTTGGCATATAATGTTCAGCCTCTAACTAAATCTATTTATGTCATCCTGATGCAGATCTAAATAAGCAGACATTGCTCAGTAAGATGTCTGAGCGATTCTGAGAACACATGGAAAATGTAATCCTCCACTCAAGGTCAGCAATGTGGGGATTTCACATTAAGCATGCTATTCATGAGCAATGTAAATGGTTCCTAATGGACTTTATTTCAGATAATACACCAACAAGCCTGATTAGTTTGCAAGGCCATTAAAACCTCTGCTCGTTTTAACATCTATGAAAGATTCAAACATTATAATTATTTTCCTCTGAGCTAATCTAGTCAATGCTAAAAGCTTTTAATAAAGTTCTTAATATACTGTAGTTCTGCACATGCCTTGGTGAATAAAACAATTGCATCTTATTTGGCATCCTGTTTGTCACTCAGGGGAACTCTCAATGACAATAAATCTTAAGGTTTTTATTAACCTCTTGAATTTTGTAATTTTTCTTTTTGTTAGAAGCTTTAGATTTTTCTTTAGGATGACACTTACACCACGCCGCTGTCTCAGCAACCTCAGCTCTTTAATAATCGGTGCTAGAGCAGATTTCTTCTCCACAATCACTGAGTTCAACTTCTTTACCTGAAAAAACAAATTTCAACAACAAAACATATTACAGCTGGAAGATCTGATTGATTTTGTACCTAAAATGTCCATCTATACAAAGATGCCTATGCCAAATGCCTATGTATAATTTCTTTTAAAGGATACAGAATGGCTATTGGTACTACAATGAAACACACAATGCTAAGCTTGTTGTCCAAGACTGAGTTACAGTCTCAGCAGAGCCAGCCAGACTTCTCTCCTTCAAACACCTCCTCCATTACTGCTGGGAGAGCCCCGGGTGCAGCTAGGCCCGCCAACAGACACAGTCCCTCTATTGTGTCCTGGGTGGTCCTCTAGGCATCCTCCCGGCGGGACGTACTTCAAACCCCTCCAGAGGGAGCATCCAGAAAAAAAATTCTGAGCAAACTCAGCTAACGCCGCTCAATGTGGATTAGCGGCTCTACCCTGAGCCTCTTCAGTATAAGGGATCTGCTCACCTTATAGCTTTGGGAGAGCCCCTCCACCCAGTAGAGAAAGCCTATTAAAGCTGCTTGTGTTCAGGATCTCGTTCTTTCAGTCAAGATCCAGATCTCATGACCATAGGTGAGAGTAGGAATATAGACCTAGTGGTAAAGCGAGAGTTCAAAAGTTTCCCCCTCCCTCAGTGGCAGGTGTGGGCCTTTATGTTGATGTGTGAGTGGCAGGCAAACCCGGTCTCTAATTTGCTTTCTACGGGCTTAGCACACTCTACAAAAAAAGCTGGATTTGGCCTACCTGATATAACCAAGGCTGTTAATGCAGAAACATTTATTGCATTTTTAGTTTTATTATTTTACAAATAAGTAAGGGAAGATTTTTTTTTTTAGGTTTTAATTCTTTCTGCTCTCTTTTATTAATAATTTTGGTTGTTATGAAAGAATGAGTTATGTTGTGTATTAAGCTGCGTTCACATCAAACGCAGCAGAAGCAGCTAGTTTACATTCAAAGTCAATGGTTGACGTGCGTCAAGGCGCAGCAAAAGGTCCCGCAGTGCATTTTGAGCAGCAGGCGCAGCGCGTCTGAGCAGCTGAAGCAGCGCATCAGGAGCGTTTGAGCATCTGACGCGCGCAACACACCGCAAACACGCTGCTGCTCGAGATTGAAAAATTTTACTTTTGCTGCTCGACGTGGCGCATCAACCAATCAGAGAGGCTGATCTGGGAGCTGGCAGGGAGACAGACAGCACTGATGATACAGAGCCCTATGATCACTCCTCTGAAACTGTTTATAACACCTAAATTAAGTTAAAATGCTGAAATCTGACAGCAAAAAAAATTCGCTTTTATTATCCTGCTACCTGCAGTTTGGATTACGTACACGAAAAACACCTTCCAGCCGCAGAGCCAAATCGCGAGGAAGCGACCTGGCCCGAGGCTGCTGCTGAATGGGGTTCGTACTGACAGCGCACCGCTGGTATGTGGAGGTCTGACCGGCTCCGACAGAAATAATATTTAAAGGCAGGATGGTAATCTGGATGAAATGACTGCACAGATTAAGTTTTCAGGTGGATTTTTTAAAAACATTAAAACTACTTTATTCCCACTGATCACAGCAAATATTAACCTGACAACAGCCAGATGCATGTCTCGCTCCGCCCAGCTCCACTCACATACAGCTGGGAACCCGCTCATTGAAAGTGATTTCCCCAACCGAATTTATGGTCTGTCCAATCAGGACGCAGGGTGGGTGTGTCCTGGAGTGGAGAAGCGACAGTGAGATTCCAACAACAATGGCGGCTCGCATTGAGGAAGCAAGCGTTAGCATTGATGCTGCTATTTCTTCTGTGTTGTCCAATCTATCTTATATTGTTTCATTAAAAGAACATCAGAGAACGACTTTGAAGGCTTTTGTTGGTGGAAACAATGTTTTCGCCCTTCTCCCGACCGGATTTGGCAAGAGCTTGATCTATCAAACGGCTCCTCCTCTCACAGGTGTGAGTGGTTGAAATAGCACGTCAATAAAGATGACAGACAAGTGGCTTATCCAATCATATGCAAGGAGTTTTGATAAGGCCCAGCCTTCAGTAAAGGCAATTCCTATGGCGGGTTCCCAGATGTATGTGAGCGGAGCTAGGCGGAGTGAGACATGCATCTGGCTGTTGTCAGGTTAAGCAAATATAGCTGCCAGGCAAAGAAAGGATGGAGTAGCTCCACCCAACGCGCGTCAGACCCTCTTTTCGACCACGCAGCCAGAGCAACAAAGATGCTTCAGGCGAGCCTCAGAACTAAACTGGTACAAGCATCAAAAATAAAGCAGAAGACACATTTTTGCTGCTTTTGCTGCGTTCGGTGTGAACGCAGCTTAAACTCGTACAAGCAAAAATGAAGCAGCAAAAGCGTTTTTGCTGATCCTGCTGCGTTTGGTGTGAACGCAGCTTTACTGAATAAAAAAGCTAAACCAAATACTTCAGAGGCGTTCAGTTAAGTTTCTTGGGGCTATGCATCTTGGTCACAGGACGAACCCCAGCAACCTGAGCTACCCTTTCCCCACAACTCAGGCTGATTCAAATTATAATCTGTTATGGTTCAACAGTTAAAACATTAAAAATAAAAAAAACATTAAACATGGACTCAAGGTAACAACCTAGAGAAACAACCTGCGTAACAACCACAAATTCTGCTAAAATTGAATAAAACTACAACGAGGAGAGAGTAAAAACAGCTTTTCCATTAATTGCTTTATTTAGTGTTAGGAAACAAGTCTGTCCCTTAGCTTGTTGTGACAAGTCAAAATATGTAGGCTTGTACTGTGACGGTGAGCCAACATTAAACATACCACGCCCCTTAAACTGAAGCTGTTATATCAGTTACACTGTGCAACTTGCATGGTATTTATCATATTTGCCTGGAAAAAGCAAACAAGGATGATCCCAATGTTATTTCCAGTCTCACCGGTCTTAATAAAGTTTATTTAAAAAAGCCTTGCAACAATCTTTAAGCCCTTTTAAAAAGGATACTTTCACTATCCCAACTAAGCTCTACTTTGACTTGCAGAGCCATATAAAATCTTAAATAGTAAGAACTGGAATTTGTGGTCCAAACATGACGAAAATGTACAAATTTGAATAGTTTGAGATTTTTTGTGCATAACTTTGTCAAAAAGGAAAAAAATATGACTTTAATTAATTATTTAATAAAGTAAACAATCCTAGAGATGTAATTCCTGTTTTGTGTTAGTTGCATTGTCTGTTTTAACCTCAAAAAGTGGTAGAACTCATAACGCCATCCAAGGAACCTCTGAACTTGGTGCTTACGTACATATTACATACCAAGGTTGTAGAGCATTTGACCAAATCAGTTTAAACCAGCAAAACAGTCACAATGGTACAAATCTTTAATGTTGATATAGATAAAATGTTTATGGCAGTGTTAGCACAGTCATGGCTGGAAAATCCAGAATTGGAGAAAATGTAAAAGCTTGCATCTTCAATAACACGCCAGAGATAGATGTGAGCTTTAGTGCAATTCCTGTATTTATTCTAACTACCGATGCTAGAATAACTAGGTTTAAGTTTTTATATAACTACCTTCTTGGCAGCCTGTAATATTATGGATCATTATTCCCTGCCAACATTCGTGGCAGTGACATTCAACAGTCTGTATTCCTTTATCATAAACTTGAAGCCTTCATATCTTTTAATTGCTGTTACACTGTAAAATTGTCCCATCCCAGATTTGGAAACTCATAACGCCAATTAACGTTATATTGTACTTTTGCCTTCTCTCTCCACTTAATCCCTGATTATTAAATTAAGACCAACCCATGTTGGTGTTAAGAACAAAACGTTGAGACTCCTTTGGCATACGGATAAAGAGGTGCACTGCTATTGTGCCTGACAGCTGAGAGACTGAAAGCTAGAAAACAAGAACAGTTACTTTTGATAACAAACAGACATACAGTTGCAAAGTTTTTAATTATTATGATGTCCGCAAGATTAATGTCTGCAAGTGGAGGAAACTAATTTTATCCTCTCACTTTATCCCTCGGTCACACCGGAAATCAAATTTTGTGGAGATCTGTTCATACAAGGTTTATGAAAGTCTGATTATGTTCACATAACCCACAGAGCTTAAGCTATAAAATCATAAAATTACTAAAGATTTCTTTATAATATCAGACAGTCTATAATTATTATCTGTAGGAAGTAGGTTGGTTGTTCTTTACTCATTCCTACTTCCTATATATTCAGTTGAATTCCGTGAAACTAAACAGGCCAGTTTGAGCTCCTGTGATCTTTTAAAGACCAACTAATCCAGCAACTTATAAATAAGGTGTGATTTTACCAACAGGCACCAAGTATATTCACCATTTCAGACATGTCATCCAGAGTGCGACCCTTCTTCTCGTCCAGCTCGCTCTTGATGGCAGAAACCCTCTCCAGCTCCTCTTGAGTGTCGCTGTATCCCGATATACCCTTCTCAGCTTCCACAATTTGCTATGAAACCCAGGGTTAAAGAAATTACCTATGTTCAGTATATTTTATACACAAATGCACATATAGAAATCTAGAAAAAGGTGCTGCAACTTAAACATTAAAATACCTCATTATTTTTCTCTTAAAATACAAAAGCTGAAAATCCTAATGAAATATTTAGATTTTTTTCAATATGGTGCCATATACTAAACGCTTTGGAATGCAAGCCAGGTAAAAAATATATCATGATAAGAGAAATGAGAGCTGTGATAAGAGAAACCTCTTTAACTGATGTAGGGGACAAGCATGATGCTGCAGTCAAAAATAACAGCTCAGTCAACATAAAATAACCTATCAACAAGCCAGGTAATCTGACCGCACAAAGGTGCTAAGCTATTTCCATGATGCCTCTGTCACTTCTCTGTGAAAAAAAAAAAAAGGGTGCAAAAATGGATCCAGCTTTATAGCAGTGAGGGGTAGGATAACACATTTTGAATAACACAAAAGAATAAATAACTAAGGCTTTTAGATATATTTTTCAACTTAGCTGTTTAATAAAAACAGTTCCTAATAAAATTTGACATTTTATAAAAGTATGGCCAATTTCCTCCACATGTGGCCATTCTTTTACCCTTTTCTGCATCAAGCAAAATATATTTATAATGAATGTTCTACAAAAGAGTTAGAAACTGGATTTCATTTGGTTACCAATTTTTGCTGGATGGCGTCATGTCTCTGTTTGAGAATCTCCTCAGTCCGTTGGAGGACTCCATACTCTCCCCTCAGCTCTGCAATTTCCTGTCTCTTCTTCTTGTAGGTAGCTCCTTTCCTGCGCAGTTTTCCAACTAAGTGTTTCAGCTACAAAAAAAAAAAAATCTATTAGAAACACTTTATAATTTTTTTTCTTAAAACTTTCTTGAGGTAATGGGAACATATCAACAAAAATAGTAAGCCTAAATGTGACATGAGTGCACAGCTGAGACTGAAAAAGACCTTTGGAGATGATGCAGAAAAAATGGATTAGACAGCAGAGTGGCCTGAAAGCCCTGTCAGAATCTGGAAGAGACATTCTCACCTTTAACATTCATGACCAGTGCAGATGCAGTAACTATGCAACCCAATATCTACAGGGACAGGCTGTAACTCCTCCGCTATGAAGATCGGCCATAATTGAACACAGACGCGGTAGAACAGCCCCACAACTCAAAGGTGTGCTTCATGTCCCTTGGGCATCCATAAAGCCCCACGTGTGCCTTTTGTGACTGAGTATAAAGAATGAGTGGGTGGATAGCAGGCTGCATGCAGTTGTAAATGTACCTTTTTTTCTTTGCGTATTTTTAGGACATCAAAGGCAGACATGGCGGTGAGAGGAATTAGCACTGCAGAGTCATACAGCATAGCATCCATAACAATGTCTCCCTAAAACAACTGTTCTGAATGTGAAATGCAGCACAGGTGCTGGTAGCCTTATGACATCTAGCACATTCACACCTTACTTAAGTAAAAGTAAAAAGTATCCTTTAAAGAAAATAGATAAGTAACAGTAAAAAAGTATTTGGTAAAAAAATGACTAAATTACTGAGTTACTTATCAACTTGCAACTCATGAGCATAACAACTGAGTTAATATTTTACTAAATGATGTAAAGTTGAACAAAATATTAAATGATATATAAATGCTGGTATTTCAAAAAACTAAATTAAAAACAAACATATACCATACTGTGACAATAAAGAAATTAGGTAGAATAAATACTCTTTAAAGTACATTTCTTTGAATTTATAAAATTTGCAAAAACAATAGTTACAGAATGTAAAAATAGGTTAAATTACATTATACTGTTTATAAAGCCAGACTTAGAAGATGGAAAATAAAGTGAGTACATTAAGAAGAAAGGCTTTCTCTTTAAGGTGCATATTTGTTTAAAACAAGCCTGTTTCAACTCTGTCATCGCAAAGTGCTTTGGGACGATCCACCTAAAGTGGATCAAGGACACCGCTGCTGGTCTGGGGTCCCTTCATTTTGCTCACAGCTATTTTAGGATGCTTTTGATGAATTTAGCTCAGCCTTCAGCACCCCCACCTCTAATCATGACGACCCTGAAGCTGCACAAACGGGCTTCTGGAACTGCGTCTTCCTCTCCAGAAAGCCCAGATGGCAAGGATGGGGAAACACATGCCCTATTGATCCAACAATGACACACCTCAGGGTTGTGTTCTCAGTCCTGCTCTCTTCAAACATGACTGCTCCGGTATCCACAACAAAAACATAGTAGTATAGGTTGTGGATGATTCCCTCTATGGAGAGGAGATCCAAAATCTATCAGACTGAACATGCCGCTCTCTGCATACATAGAGATGGAGTGTGTGAACATCATAAAGTTACCAGACATTCACACTTCCTTTAAACTCTTTTGAACTGAGAGCACCATCCACCAGGTAAATAGATTCCCAAAAAGGGCTCTTCATCCTCAGGAAGATGAGTCCACCAGGAAAATCCACACAAATGCTCACATTTCTTTACAGGGCAATGACCAAAAGCCTCTTGAATGCTGAAATAGGCCTTAAAAGAGGGCTAGACACATTGTTAAAGATCCTACCTACATAGCAAGTGTACTGTTTGCCCCACTTCCTTCAGGACAAAGATACAGAAATTCAAAATATCAATGAGCAGTTTTTTTCCCAAGCTGTGAAAAGCGTCCACATGTAGCTCGACAAACAAAATCAAGTTTCTGTATCCTTGTTTGGGGACTTTCCATTGATTTCCATTAATATATACCCATTTCTTCATCCTAACTGTCCCCTTAAACCTAAACATTATGGTTTCATCCCTAACCCCAACCAAAACTCAATTCAAACCTTATCCATTAACCTAAGCCTAAAAAAGCATTTGTACTCATGGGGACCAGGCATCGGTCCCCATGAGAGCAGTCGGTCACAACAATGTCCTATTATTCATGGCAAATGGTTCCCACAACGTGACAAATGCATGCACACACACACCCCCAAGTTGGTTTTCACAACTCCAGAGGGGATTTTCTATTTACTTCCATTTATTAGAAGGCGATTTCTACAGCCTAACCCTGACCCTATACCGAACCTAACCATTACAGTTAAAATTGTTACCAAATTCACACCTTAAGTCCTTAACCTAACACCTAAGGCTGAAACAATAATCTCCTCCAAGGGGAACTGGTGGAAGTCCCAAAGAGGATGATCATTCCCCATGATAGTGTTTTAACAGAGAATTCTCCCCACCATGTAGGAAAAACAAGTATAAACAAACTATTCTCTAGCTATATGCAGTGAGGACCATGTGATGACTCCAATTGGCTTACCTCGGTTTAGTCATTTTCAACCGTTATATGCCCTAAACCTAACCATTACCAATGCATACCTCACGCTAACCAATTCACACTGTAACCCGTTAGAAACTGAAACTGGTCTTCACTCTTATCCTAAAACAGAAGCACACACAAACACAATCAAATGTTTCCATCCTTGTAGGGACTTACCATTGACTCCCATTCATACAGGTTCATACCTCACCTTAACCCCAACCTAAACTTCACATCCTTAGTCCTAAATGTAACACCTATCCATAAAACAGTAATTTTACCAACGGGGACCAGACATTGGTCCCCACAAGGGGCAGCCGGTCCGTGTAACATGTAATTTCTCCAAAAATAAGACCTACAATGTATCAAGACTGTATACACACACGTTTGTTATATCTAGTGAGGTCTATGTGGTGACCCCTATTGACTTTCAGTCATTTTCAAACCTTTCTATGCCCTGAACCTGGTCACAGTAACCCTAAACCACAACTAACCGAAATCTTAAAACTAAACCCAACCGTTTGTAAAATAGGTTTTGAGGACCGGCCAAAATGTCCTCAGTTTGTAAAAATGTCCTCGCTTCAGAGTTTAAAAACCTAAACTGGTCCTGACTCTTTTTCTAAATAGGAGCACACACACCCCTTGTGAAACACAGACAAACAAGATCACATAGAGACAACTATAGACAATCAGCTAACTTCATATCAGTAGAATCTGCACTTTATGTAAATATTAGAATAGAATTTCAGCATATCTTGTAAGGATGTACTTTATACATCAGGGTTTTATGTAAAAAAATCAATCTTTATAAGCATATGTATCAATAATTTTTTATTCTTGATCCATATTGTTGTAGCGCTTTTAAACCAAATTTACCAGGGGAGGCAGAGTTTTCTCATGGGGGTACAAAACTAAAGCATACAAAAGTAAAGCAATGGCTCTGGAGTTCCCAGATATAGCAGAGGAACACTGTATCATCCTATCTCTAAACAACTGAAGAGAAAAGTGCAGCACCTTCATTTATAATTTTCTATTAGAATAAAAATGTGAAGATAAAAAAAAAAATGACATAGATCCAAGAGACCAATAAATTATGGTTTCTGTGAGTCTTTATTAAGGGGACCTAAAAGGGGGGCACTGGGTCCACTGGTTCCTGTTTAGAGCTGCCTATCCACGTATGTACATCCCAATTTTTATTGATACAAATAAAACAATTTTGATTCTCATGAGCAGTCAGGATTCTTTAAAACATATTACTTTAGCTCTGAACAGATCGCATACTTTTCTGACTCTTCACTTTATTCAGGAAAAAAAATATATTTGACAGATTTAAAACAGGGTCCTATGGCGCCTTGATTGAAAACCGTTTCATGTCACTAGGAGAGCACTGCTGAGCAGAATGCAGACATGCCACTGTGCAGTTGTTTGGAGGCATGTGGTGACAGTCATCTCAATGGAAAATACCTCTGATAAGGTGATCATCTCCACCATGGCTGATGGCCCAAAATGACACAGTAGTCTGATAAAGTGAGCCTGACTCAAGCTCCACCAACTTCATTTATTCTTACTCTAAGGAGCTTTTTCTCTCTACAAAGCTCTCATTAGTGATTCAGGTCAGATTTAAATACTCTTAGTTTCAGTCTTTTGACATTATTGTGAAAAATGTATGTGTATCCCTGCTTTTGATAGCTATTGTAAAAAAAAAAAAACAGCTTTATTTTCTCGACCATCTAATTGCTTTGCATTTCATCACAGAGGACGTTGTTTTAAATCTGGACTTTTTTCTCTGGCCTACCCGAGGAGGATAAAACATCCTTGAGGTCATGTTTACACTAATATTTTACATTATCTATCCTTGACCTTCAACAGTAAATATTTAAATATCGCTTTATTTGTAAAGATCAGCCCAGTTCTGAACCTTTGCAAGTAAATGAAATAATGTTCCTTAAAAATCACACAAATGCGAAATACACAGAAAAGAGTTACCAGAAGCAGTTACCAGAAAATGGTTAAAAAATTACCCTCCACATCTGATGCAGTGGATATCAATAGTAGAGGAAATCTTCACTATGGAGAAAATGTCTTACCGCCTAAGGATCAAGTCCAAAGACCTGAAACAACACTGGAAAAAATGGCTTGATTACACAAACTGGAAAAGACTTACCCTCAATAAGACTGGATTGTCAGACAAAACTAAGAGGACCAGCGCGACCCTCACACCTCCTAAAAAATGACTTTGTTAGACTTTCGTTGTGTGTTGTCTCTTTTACTTTTTTTTTGTGTGTACTACGCAAACCTGAAAAATAATAAATAAAAAGTAAAAATAGAAAAAGAAAAATCACACAAATGCATGGTCAAAGATGGTGCTACAGAACAGATCTCATGTCAACACTCCACCGCCAACTTCAAGCCAACAAAGTTTCAATGACACATAACCATCCCCATTCATCTGCATTTCTCCGATAACACTAACTCTGCATAAAGAGGTTCAGACACTATTACGTATATTCCTCTTTTTCTTGTTCAAGAGTTTAGTTCACTACTCATGAAAGTTTGAAAGAGACCATGCTACAGGTTCTACAAAAGGAGAAGGCAGGGTACATCCTCAACAAATAATATAAAGACTGATGTTTCTGTAACCAAGCTATGCTTCATAGGTCCAAATGACGTATGCTGGAAAATTGTTACAGTGGAGATAAAAGCCAACTCTCAGGAAGTTTGTCCAGTACAGTTCCTTGCTCTGGATATTCTCGCTTTTGTTCGCTATTTGTAGCTTACATGGGAATGTAGGGGAAGAGTGGGGGAAAAAATGGATAAGTAACCTTAGACAGTGAGCTTGTCTGTGTTTGGATAAGGACGGAAATAGTCTCTTGAGTTTTTCAGTTACAACACTTTGATAAAAGCTGAAATTTTCTTTTTTTCTCTTCCAGTCTCTGACAGCAATCCAAAATGTCCAAATAGGAGGCTAAATGCTACTTCAGTAAAACTTCAAATTTGATCAATTGCATGACTCTTTGACTGTTTCAACCAAGAGAACAGTTTACCTCATCACCACGGATGATTTGTTCCCTATGCGAGCCTTGTCCCTGGTTGTCTCTCTGCTTCAGCTCCCTCTCTGCAGCCGCCAACTCCTCCCTTGCTTCCTGAAGCTCCTCCGCTTTTGACTCCTTCTTTCTCATGATAATAGAGGCCTGAAATGCAAAGATGCAGTAGATATATAAACATGAAAGAGTGATTATACGCACTCAGAGTGTATTTTGATGAAAGACTTTAAAGTCAGCGTGAATTTCTCCCCTTGCTAACTCTTATCCCAAAAATAATTTAGATAATGACACTGAAATTAAAATAACCATTTTCCATTGTTTCTTTCAAAGCATATACATAATTTCAAAGCACACTTTTCTGAAGTAGCTCATTCTGAATAAGACCCACTAAACAACCTTTACGAGTGTCACATGGATATGTGGCTGTTTGATGTTGACACTGAAAAAGGATGTGCCAAGCACGTTGGAAACAAAGATGAAATACAGATAAAACATGAGCTCTATGGAATTAAATGGAGGTAAGCAAACAATTGGAGTCATGAAGAGAGTAAACAATCCGAAGCTTACAGATGTGTAAGCATCACAGTTCATTCCCCAAGGATTTTTTGTAAATAAAGGTGATAAAGTTTATCACCAGATTAACTTAATACCCAAGTGGCTTTTCATTTAAAATAGTTAACCTAGCTGCATAGTTATTTTATTTGTAAGGATGTGTGGGTCAAGCGAAGAGCAAACATTTGATTGATAACATCTTAATATTTTTAAGTCACCCTGCAACCATAACACCTTGTAGTAATAGCCTGACTTGAAACTTAAGACACAGAACAGAGACTCTTGTGGACGAAAAAGACATACATTGACTGATAAAAATTTCACAGGGAGACAGATTGTGTGCTTGAAGTCACAATCTTAATATACAGTATTGTAGTATAGTGAAACCCCCCCACCTTCTTCAAATCAGACAAAATTATTGTCAACCTTTTGTGCTACGTTTGTGCTGCTTTGGATTTGAAGATATTAATGAAAATGTAAAGGTCAAAAGGTCAACCAGCCCCCCCACCTTATTCAAATTAGACAAGATTGGTGTCAAACGTTTGTGCAGCAAAATTTTCGTTTGTGCCACTATCGTTTTAAAGATATAAATATCTTCAAAGCCAAAGCAGCACAAACAACAATTTTTGCTGCACAAACCAGCACAAACGGTGCTGAATTAAATGACACCCATTTCGTCTGATTTGAAGAAGGTGTGGGGGGCTGGTTGACCTTTGATGACCTCTAGAAATATTTCTTTATATCTTTAAAACGATAGCGGCACAAACGAACATTTTTGCTGCACAAACCAGCACAAACGCTTGACACTAATTTTGTCTGATTTGAAGAAGGTAGGGGGGGGGCAACTTCACTCAGGTGAAAAAGTGAGTTGCCAGTGAAAACCTGAATGTCGTCAAAATTGTTGTCTGGACCAATCACATAACATTTCTGAATACATCCGCAGAAAGCTGGAGCAATATGTCTCCAAGCAGAACTTTCTCCCGACAATGCAAATTTTACACTAGACTCTTCCTGTTGCTTGCTGCATGATTTTTACTTTTTGAAATTGTATAAAGGTGATGACACAAGGCAGAGGCCTCCATTTGGACCTCAAATCATGGGGCAAATAAGAAAGGTAAGATCATTATGTATACATGAAACATTTTCCTGTTTTGCAGGGAAAACAGGCCTCGAATACAAGACAGTTGTAGCCGTTTGTAGTTTTGAAAAGATCTGATTATTCTTACAACCTTGAAAACAGAAAGCAAAGAATAAATCTACATATTTAGATAATTATTCAAATATTACTTCAATTAAAGGGTATATAATCCATTTGATAGTTTAATTTAATACAGTTTCCCTTTAGGATTAAATAACGTATTTCAAGTTTGAATTTAATTTGAATTATAAAAAAAATGGTAAAGAATAATAGTTATGCAAGGGGGAAATGGAACAGACTCTAAATTTGAAGTGAAGACATAACATAAAGTCCATTGAAAATAAAATATATCCCAGAACGTAGTGAAACCAGCACCTGCTGCCTATACAGGGTCAGTTCATCATCTATCGGGTCATTCCTCATCATCTTCTTCTCAATAAGCTGGTTTATCTGAGAGTCAACTACTTTTATCTGCAAGAATAAAACATTAAAGAAAGTTAGGTATTAATTACATCACTGTTTATAAGCGTTAAACACAAAAAAATCCCATCCTGGTGCTGCTGACCTTGTCTTCCATCTCCTGGACATCACTCTGACCCATTGCAGGCTCTGATGCTACCTTTTGCATGTACTGCACTGTGCACCTCATGGCTTTAAGCTCTTTGGGGAGTTTTTCAGTAACCATGTAGGAATTGAATGTTATTTCTTCTTCAAGTCGCTTAGTCAAATCTGAAAGACAAAAAAAGATAGTAGTCTACAACTTAAGCTTATACACTTAAAGCTCAAAGTATAATAAAATAGGGTGTAATTATACAAAATATATAAAGTTATATTTCCTCCCTACTGGTGCACCTGTTTGAGGTGTTTAGTAGCATAAAGACACCTGTCCACCCCATACTTTCAGTAAAAATCCAACTACTAACATGGCCAAGACCAAAAAGCTGCCTAAAGACACTAAAGACAAAATTGTACACCTCCGCAAGGCTGGAAAGGGCTACGGGCATGTTGCAAAGCAGCTGGTTTAAAAAAAAAGTCCACTGTCGGAGCAATCATTAGAAAATGGAAGAAACTTAACATGACTGTCAATCTCCCTGGGACTGGGGCTCCATGCAAGATTCACCTTGTGGGGTCTCAATGCTCCTAAGAAAGGTGAGAACTCAGCCCACGACTACACAGGAGGAGCTGGTCAATGACATGAAAAGAGCTGGGACCACTGTTTCCAAGGTCACTGTTGGTATTACATAAAGACATCATGGTTTGAAATCATGCATGGCGCGGAGGGTTCCCCTGCTTAAACCAGCACATGTCAAGACCCGTCTGAAGTTTGCAATGATCCTTAGGATGAAGAAGAATGATGGGTACCATACTGAAGACACCATCCCTAATGGAAAGCATGTGCGATGTGGCATCATGTTTTAGGGTAGTTTTTCTGAACGTGGGGCAGGGCGACTGCACTGTATTAAGGAGAGGATTTACCGGGGCCATGTATTGCAAGATTTTGGGTAACAACCTCCTTCCTTTAGTTAGAGCATTGAAGATGGGTTGAGGCTGGGTCTTCCAACACGACAATTACCTGAAGCAGACAGCCAGGATAACCAAGGAGTGGCTCTTTAAGACCAAATATCAAGGTTTTGCCGTAGCCTAGCTCCATCCAAATAGAAAATCTTTAGAGGGAGCTCAAACTATGTGCTCCTAATCTCTTTTCTGTCCTTCCTTTAGAGGGGCACGTGAGGGAATTGGAAGCCTGCTGGCATGCCGCCATGCTTGAGTTTGCCATGGCAAACCTGCACTGTATGCAAGCAGATGAACCTGTTGTTGTCTCATTAATTCTGTCACCAGATATAGCCCAGATAATGATTTAATATGCCCACAGAATCAATGTTGGGTCATAGATGACATCCTCAGTAAGGCGTACAATGCAGGAGCATGTGCTGTCGGCCCCAGCAACTCATTGGCAAATTTCATGTTTCCCCTTGATCAAAGTTTGATCATGCCATGTCTTTTCTCGTCCAAGCTTGTCGACAGGTCTGGCTGGTGAAGTCTCCCCTGACAGAGGCATGCAGTATGACCTAAAGCAATCTTCCCATTGTGTCAATTGAGTTGTTTGGATCAGCTGCCCTGGTGGTGCTGTTCAGGTTTGTCAGACTAACCAGGAGGTTTCTGGCCTGGGGAGAAGCCACCCCCAAAATCCGAGGGGTCCCTCTGCTGATGTGCACAGACCTGGTAGAGAATTTTGTGAGCTATTTGCTAACCATCTAGACACACTTCAGATCCTAATCGCCCCTCCTCCATGGCTCCCAAGGGCCATCAGGCTTGGAAATGATGTCACGGGGCCAGCCATTAGACATTTTCCCATCAGCAGCTCAGGTTTTGGGCTGCTCATACTGTTGATCCAATGGGAGGTTGCCACTTTGAAGGGGCAGTTATGACTGCGATCCACCTTCTCACAGCGGATCAAAATTAATGTTATCAACCACTGTAAAATCCAAAGCCATGAACCAGGAGCTTTCTGTCCTTTTGGCCAAGGACACAATAGGAGCTGTAGACCCTCTACAGCAACCTAGAGGATACTATTCAACATACTTTGCTATGCCAAATATAACAGGCGGTTTTCACCCCATTTTGGACCTAAGGGGACTTAATCAGTACCTAAGGCTGCTTCTTTTCTACATGCTCACAGCATCAGAGGTCCATTAGGCTGTTACAAGGGGATAGGGTTTACATCAGTAGATCTCCCTAACGCTTACTTTGATGTGGCTAATTACAGCAGAAAAGCGCTGCAATGTTGTGCAATTTTGTCTCTTGCCAGGGAGGGTGGCCCCTTCACCATTATCTGGTGCTCATGATTTGAGACCGCTTTGCTCCAGCAGAGGTGGATCTGTTTGTCACAGAGGAGTTGAATCATTGCCAGGGCCTGAAACTAACAAGCCAAAATATTTTTACACCTAAAATTATGATGAACGACTCAGAAAATGCATCGGAAAATGAAAATGCATTAATTACTAGAGAATACAATTTAAAGTTCTGTCGGGCTATTAAGTACATCTAACTTATGACTAGCCCCAAATAATGGCAACAATATCTCTCTTTGTGTGAATAGCATTGAGAACAGAAAATTATAGAAATACAGCCAATGATCTTACGAATAGTCTATTTTATTTACTTAACAGATAATCTAATATTTTATTTGAATAAAGTTTTGACCAACCACCAAAAAAATTATAACAACAATAATATAATTAATTCTAAATAATTATTAAGGGGCAAAACCATCATTTCAGAAGTGGGAGGGATGAATTATTCAGGGTGATCTATCAGCTTCTCACAATCAGTTTCACCTTTTCTATAAGATTCACCTTTTCTTATAAGTGAAAACCTCTTCCTTATACCCGACTGGTTTCTCCCTGCAGTGGATATTAATTGAAGGTTATAATCTCTCCCTCTATAAAGTTTATACCATTCTTCCTCCTACTTGCTTCTGGTCCATTTCTTCCCTGACTCCCCTCTCTCTATTGTTACCAAGACTTGGTTAAAAAAATAAAAACTGTTACGATTTTTTGCTTCTTCCTGGCTAGTTTTCTAAACACTGTGATGCTCAAGTTCAGCTCTGCTCTGCATCATGTCTTTTGTCAAACTTCTACATTAGCCTGTGTCTGCTCTTGTCAGTTCAAAGACAGTCCCAAAAAGAAGTTAGCGCATACTAATAACAGGTTTAACTGTTTCAATGGCTCAACAAGTGCAGGGGACAGAGAAGACAGATTGGTAGGTGCGGGAGAGATGACCCACTCGTACCCTGCGTCCATTACCCCCATGCATATTTCACTGTAATGTCAAGGTCAAAAAACTTTAAAAAAGCCAAAACTTTCACAGCATGACTAAGGGCTAAGTCCTCAAAGGACCCAGAGAAGCAAACACTCACCTCTGCTTCCTCAATTTCTTTCACTATTGCAGAAACTGGTTTTCACCAAGTTCTAGTCTGATTTGGTTTTCTTTAAGCCATACATATGGTAGTCCAGACTGTAGTGACACCAGCCAGTCTCAAACCTTAATATTCCTTACAACTTTGTAAAAACATTTTTTACATTTCTTATGAATCATTGTCTTCCACATCTATCTTTTTAGGTTGGTTACAGCCTGTGGCCTCTTGCGCCAGCGATATTTTGTTACATTTTTTTTTAATTCAAGAAAAGGGCGGGGCTTTCAGAACAGTAGAATAAGCTACTTGCTTAGTATTGGTTGTTGTCTTATTAACTACAGACCAACATGGCAGGGAGATTGAGTGTCACACTTGCCATTCACAAAAGATTCCCACATTTGGTGTGTGGGCAGGCTTTAGTTTCATGCCCTGCGCATTGCTATGTCTTAACTATTCCCTTAAAGGGACATCAGTCACTCCAGGCCAGGATGCGCTAGCTCATCCCTGTCTTTAGGTGCTCCTGTGCTCTTTTCCACATTCTGGTTCATTTGACCAGAAGAAGATTTTATATATATATATATATATATATATATATATATATATATATATATATATTTTTTTTTTTTTTTTTTTTTATTAAAGGAGAAGTTCGGTTTTTAACACTTTAAGCCCATTTTCTGTAGTGTCCAGGATGAAATCGAATGATCGACACCAAAAGTTTGACAATTGCTCCTGTCTCTGCTTTTTGGCTCATTTAGAATCACCCCCTGGCTGCTTTAGAATGGCTTGCATAGAGCATGTCCGATAATGTCCTTAAAACAACCTTAAACGTTCTTTTTTTAAAATATGCTACTCACCGGGTCGTCAGCGCTGTTCAATGACGTTCCAAAAAAAGTTTCGTAAAGAAAAAACGTTCCTGTAGTGTTTTATTTAGCATTTTGTAAATCCCATTGAGTTCTGTAGGAATAGTCAATTTTCCGCTGCCACCGGAAACGGAAATGGGGCCTGTTTACACAGTTGTAGTCTTTTCGCTTCACTCTGTGTACTCCGACGTCGAGAATCAAGAATCCACCTTTCGTATTCCATTTTCAGAGTTTTTTAAAGTGTTTAACAGAGACGTTAGCACCTCGACGTCGGAGTACACAGAGTGAAGCGAAAAGACTACAACTGTGTAAACAGGCCACATTTCCGTTTCCGGTGGCAGCGGAATATTGACTATTCCTACAGAACTCAATGGGATTTACAAAATGCTAAATAAAACACTACAGGAACGTTTTTTCTTTACGAAACTTTTTTTGGAACGTCATTGAACAGCGCTGACGACCCGGTGAGTAGCATATTTTAAAAAAAAGAACGTTTAAGGTTGTTTTAAGGACATTAACGGACATGCTCTATGCTAGCCATTCTAAAGCATTCTAAATGAGCCAAAAAGCAGAGACAGGAGCAATTGTCAAACTTTTGGTGTCGATCATTCAATTTAATCCTGGACACTACAGAAAATGGGCTTAAAGTGTAAAAAAACGAACTTCTCCTTTAAGATATAATATAACATTCGTTATATATAAACAAAGTAGCTTTTCATATCCTACAAAGCTTAAGTTAATTTAGAAACAATAACATCAATCTTTTCCTCAGCTTGGAGACCAGTATCATATGAGAACAAGATTTAACACAGAAGCCCCAGACAAATTCTTCTATGGCACAACAAGGATCAATATAATCAAAGGGTCTTGACATATATCAGCTGAGACATACTGTATGGGGTCCATTTGTCTTACAAAGCTCACACATACAGCAGAATCTTCATGCTACTTACTTTCTGGGGTGGCATCTGCTGCTGCTTGTCGCAAATCCTTCAACTGTTGCTGCAACCTCAGAAGTCTCTGCTCTTTCTGAAACAGCTGATCACACCATAACACAATTATCAATTATTACCACCATTTCAGTTGGATTCAGATCCCTGATGTCTGCATATTTAAAATGGCCAAAATCTTCTTATTCAGAGGATTTCATGTTACACCGCAGCTTGTAGCTCTGCTATTGTTAGTTCAATTTCATTCTGAGGTTTTCCTTTTCACACAAAGACCCAACACTCAGATAGGCATTTTTTTCCTTGAAAAATTCCAAACAAAGCAATCTGAGCCAAGAAAAGTAAAAACAGGTTGTCAAAAAATAAGTCTTTTTAAGTATTACAACTTCCATGAGTAGACCGTTTAGAACTCTTATAGTTTGTTTAACTTTAAGAGGATGCCCATATTTAAGAGCCAGATAAGTTGGAAAAGTGGAACATGAATAATTCTTGGCATGAAGAATTCTTTTGCCTTGGTTTACAAAAGCAGAAATGTTACTTTAAACCAGCAGGGGTGATAATGACATGGATTTACAAAGAGACAAGGAGCTTTTAATATAAAAGAAGCATTTTACATAAACACAAATTAAGGAGGTTTTATGCATTCTGGACATGTGGAAGGATGATCCAATGGCTAAGTGACATGAGAATCGAATACCTATTTAGTCTCATTAGTTATTTTAATAATATACACACTAACAGAGAAGGTCCTCTTTCTTCCCCCTTCCTCTGAAAAAGTACAAATATTTGCAGCTGATATAAAAAAAAGTTATGTTTGTTTATATTTTATAGGGTTAAATTAAACAGGGAGGAATAAACATAGGGATTAGTTGTTTCTTTTATTCAAAGTTCCAGCTTTTAATGTAACAAGGAAACACTTAAGGGATGGCTCTATAAAAAAACAAAATAAAACAAAAAAATTAACTGTCTCCTGTTCATTTTCCCAGATTTGGGAAATCCTCCTTCTGTAATGTTGAAAAGCTTAGCTACACTGACATTAACTAATGCAATAAATGCCATCTGCTCTTATCTATAAGTGACTAGATGTAAAAAAATAAAGGCCTTTTTACTGTTCCTCTTTCTATTGCTGCACAACAAAAGCTTTTTATATCTAATCTAAATAGATTTTAGTCCAAACAATTTGCCAATAGGCTATTAGCAAAGTACAGATTTAAGCACCAATTTTAGCCTAATTTACATATATATAAGTTAGGTTTTTTCGCAATAATTTACTATCCCTAACCCCAGATCAAAAATCCTATCTGCCCCATGCTTTAAACAATATTTTTCAAAAGCAAAAAGGTACTTTTTAAAACAATGTTAGATTTGAATTTATAGGAAATAACAATCTGCGGTATGGAGACCTAATCTCAAAAGGATAGCTCCAAGACAAGACCACCGGAGCTAATGTGCATTTTGTTTATTAGCATTAAGTTTATAACATGCGGACATAATTTCCAATGCCATCTATAAAGCAGTTGTTTTTTTTCTTTGTGTCTGAAGGACACGACTGTGACTGCAGGTGCCATAGAATCCAATCCCTCCGTAAAAGCTGAGAACTGAGTGTATACCAAATACAAATTTTTTTTGAGTAGCTCTCATGACATTTCCATTTCTTACTGCCATTAATACTGTAATGGCAGTAAAACTTAAATCACCAAATAATGTAAAACAGATTAGTCACGTGGTGTGTCCTTTTCTCCAGGATGCACTGCAGGGAAAGTAAACATTTAATCATGAATGCTCATTACATATTTAAGCCTACTTAGTCATTTTGATATTGGGCTAATATTGATTTTTTTTTGGGTCAGATTATACATGACTGTAAAGATACTAAGTGTAGGATCAAATCTGTATCCTTACTTAGCTGCATATAAACTGATTGTGTGTAGAGAAGTGAGAATTGAACAGTCACCCGATTCTCATAATTCTGGTGACAGTTATTGTAAGAACCAGAGCAGGAATTGCAACATTAAAGCAAAATGCTGGAAGCATTATGGTTAGTTGAGTTGGGATAATCCTCTCAACATATATCAGTGTTGTCATGTAGCCCTGTGACGAGCTCTAGGCAGAAAGGCTCACTACTAAGTGAAAGTTTGTTCAGGTTCCAAGCTTTTGTCCTCGGACTTCCAATCCCTAACTTGACCAATGGAAATCTAAATTGTTTTATTTTCTAAGAATTTGTTAAAAACAGATTTTAACATTTAGCAAAGATTAAGCACTGATCAAAACAAGACCTGGAAAACTTTTCTAAAAAAAAAGTGATCCAATGACAAGAAACAGGACAAAACAAAACAATACCCAAACACCCTCTAAAAAATCTTTATTTAAAAGTTCCTATGAAAATTTGACAGAGACAAGCCACATTAAATTGTATTCTATTGTATTTATGAAGGCAAAACAAGTTGAAAAGACAGCTCTTAAAACCTGAAAAATTTTAAATTTTGGCATAAATGGAAGTGAAGCATTTTCTGCTAATGAATGCTCTATTCCCATTGGTTTTAAACATTTGCCTATTGAAACAAACAATTTTTAGGATGTGTGTGTTAACTTGTTTAAATATTTTGAAAGTGTAGATCGAGCTAAAGTACCTGGTACTTCTGCTCTTGCTTCTGATGAGTCAGTGACTCCTCTCTTTCCTTCTCCACTCGAAGCTGTCTGGCCTCCTCCAACATTTGGTGATGGTTTGACACCAACTCCACCTAGTGGACGGAAATGTAAACAAATATGCAGATAAAGTCTAATGTAACACCTTCACAAAGTTTTCAGGAATCAGTTGAACCTCTACCAGTCATGTTTCACCTACAGTACCTTTTGTACATATGTAGGTGACTCATTAACCAATAACTTATTACCTCTTAACCTCTCTATGACAGTCAAATGCCTCTGGAGGCCATTATGAAAGCTGCTCATGTGTGTCACAACATTAGGTTTTTATTTGACATTGTATTCTTTATGAGTGGAGGCATTACAAAAACCAAAGTTTTACTTACCCTCTTCATAAGTCTCTCCACACGTTTGAGGAGTTGATCTTTTTCTTCTTCCATGGCAGTAATATCCTGCCAAAGAAGGAATTTTAGTGCTGCTGTTAAACCGGTATAAAAAAAGTTATCACAAGTGTCATAATTGTGAGGATTTTTGGTATCTTATGTATGTCGTGACGTCTACTAATTGAGTTTCTGTTAGGAGATGTTATGTAAAATTACTAAAAGGGTTAAATAAAAAGTTGTGAAAAAATATAAAAAATATGAAATTCGCTTGAATTAAAGGGGTCATAGAATGCAGAACAGAGTTAACTTTGTCAAAGATGAATAACGATAGTTCAGTGGGTGAAATGGACGTACAGAGAAGTATAAACCCAATCAACACCTCTTTTCTCCAAGGATTGGAGCGACCGAACCCAACCCGTTGACGGTAGCCTGGACAACCGTGGACCTGTGCTTCCCCCTGCCTGCCTTACCGGGCACGGGTCCGCCGTTGTCCAGGCTACCGTCACCGGGTCGGATCCAGTCTCTCCGCCCCCCCGCTGGCTCCCTGTTTTGACTATGTGCTGCACTGTAATCCTGAGGCATAGCCAGAAAATGTTTATAAGGTTGGCAAGGCAAAAACCAATGTACACTGAGGGTTGGCCAAAAGTAGATAGGCACCAGAACCTCAGCGTCACTCTACAATGGAAACAGGAAAATTAAAGAGCAAAACATCCATATTTTCTAAATAAAGACTAACTACACTTTCCCAAAGCCTTTGCTAACAAACAGAAGAATGTATTCAAACATCCGTGCTGTCTGGATAAAAGGTATTGTGGATAAAATTCTTTCAGGTTTGAGTTTTGGGCGAACATCTTTTACATTCTCATTACTTACCTACATTTTTTCAATAATCATTCTGCATAAAATTGATATTGACAAGCACTAATATCTACATAAATTGATTATTTAATGTTTTATTTAAATAGATATTTATTTATGATTTCACTGAAGACTCCTAGATGTCTTGCAGAGACACTTAATATTCTCTTTACCCAAAAACACCATATCTATTTCTGCTTGAATTCTGTACTCATCTTTAATGTTAGCATAATGATGTGCATATTTAACCACAGTGTTTTTGTTGTCAAGTAATTGTTAATATAGGAAAATTTAAAATGATTTGAATATTCCACTTAAGAGCGTAACTGTTGCCAGCATCTGTATTAGAGAGAAATAAATGGTAAGGGTGGCCACAGTGGCCCTGCTGTAGTCAACCAAAATCCCGGATTATTTTGAAATTCCTCCCGGAAATGTTTTTAGGTATGAAAAGTAGGACATGTCCAGGAAAAAAAGGACGCCTGATCACCCTACCATATCAACATGCTTGTTAATATGATGCGTCTTTGCTGAGCAGCTTCGCTCGTTGTAAACCAACCAATCAGCACACACCTCATCTAAATATTCATGAGCATACCATAAAAAGAAGAAAACCTGTCGTTTTATTCTGGGACTCTTAACCAGGCTTGCATTGAGGCTCATAGAACGGCAAATATGCCATTTTCAGCCCAACCAATGTTACACACCCTATTCAGAGACCTTTAGGACCAGCACCAAATACCCTGTATAATCATTCTATGACCCCTTTAAGCTCCTTTGTTTTCTAATTTCTCTAACTAACATCTACAACCATTATGAATAGAATTGTGTCTGCAATCTTTGGGTGGTTTTATCTGTGTATAAATGCAGCTGAAGGTTTTTAAAATGTGTTAAAGCACAGCATAACTTTACCCGTCTGATCTCCGCTGTGGAGAAGCCTGAGCTCCTCAGATGCTCACACTCCTTATGGTATGTCTTAAATCCTTCCACCAGCTCTTCATACTGAAAACACAAGCTTTGTGCTTTAGAAAGTTTCCAAACACTGAAAATGAAATTGTGATTTCAACTTGTACTTGTGACCGACCTGATGATAAGTATCATTGATGATATCATCCTGCAAAAACTCAGCAGGTATCGCCAGCTTCATCAAAAAATTGGCTAGATAAGCCCTCTTCTTTAGGTCAGGGACTCTCTGCAGTAACCAGTGGAGGATTGGGTGAACTACAGGTTTGCTACCACTCACCAAACCCTGTCTGAAGCTGCTCCTACAAGTGGGAAGAAAAGAGAACTACTAGCATCTTAAATCATTATTTAATAAAGCAGATTAAATAAAAATAAACCATGGTTGAAAATGTATCCCTGTAATGACACAAACGCAGATATACAAAATAAATAGAATAGGATAACATGATTATGAAAAAGTATACGGTTCAATTTAGAAGACATTTTAATAAAAATAACACTCTTACAGCGTTAATACACAAGTGAACAAAATTCAAGCTTTTGGTTTTGATGTAGTTTATAAAGATATTCATATAATCACATAAAACTGAACTATTTTCATAACGGCCTCCTAGTTTTATAGATGACAGAGTTATTATGTCAAGACACAGGTTTGGCCTGTTCTTTGCAGTACTTCTTAGGCTTAATCTGGTTGGATGGGGGACATTGTGCACACCCTTTTTCAGATCCCTCTGTTCAATTAAGATTCAGTCACGTACTCTGGTTTAGTCACTCCAAGACTTTGCCTCAGTTCCAAGTATATGCATTTCAGTTACAAATGCAATGAATAGAGACCCTTCTCTAGAGACACCATAGACCTCTTAACTGCCTTTCTAATTAATGCTCTTTTAGCCCAACATGTCAGTTTGGTTCAAATCATACTTTTCCATTTTAGTAAGAAGTTTACATATTAATTGTGCAAATTATCCTGAGCTTTGCAAACCTTAGAAAAAAATATGCAAAACCTGGGATATTATTTAATAATATTTTCTGCTTTAATCTTTCCCCACAATTTACTCCCTGAACTGGCTGTTTGCAGTGTTGCTTAGTCTTCATATGCTTTTTATTCTCCCTTAAAATTCTCACGCCTTGACAGGGGCAGCATAATCTAATCAATCTATCTATTTACTGATCAGTTGAAATGTTTTAATTGGCTGCATTTAGAGGTTTCAAAGTAAATTAGTGTAATATAAATGTATTTCATTTTCTTATTGTATTTTGAAAGATCTCATATAAAAACTATCCTGTTACTACACTGTTTTACACATGTGATAGGAACCTGCCACAGTGTAAAGGTATGAATAAATTGCACGATACTGCATATAGAAAACAGATAATAACACTTGCATTTATTAATTCATGGTTGGATATTTGATGGATATGTGAAATATCACTCACACGTCAGAGTGGTTCCCAGGAGGTTTGTATTTCAGCGTATCCAACAGGGCAGACATTCTCTTCACTGTTTTTTCTGGGGTTTCCTCTCGGATATCTACGGCCTGCTACACGAACAACAAAGCCAGTTAGTGAGGTTAAATGGAAACGATTGATCCGTTGACGAATAGAAGTTTAACACTCAGTTTACCTTCGGGTCTATTTCAGACAGAACATCGTTTAAAATCTGCAGGAGCTGCACGGTGTCCAATGAGTCAAACGTGATGAGGTTGAAGTTCTTCTTGAAGGGCTCCTTGTTGAGTTGTTCAACAATGAATTTCAGTTGTTCGCTCATAGTGGGAGTTTAAAAAGATTCACCTAATTGTAACGGCTCCTCGTGTTGTTAAATAGCGAGCTAACCAGCTAGCGCCGACGTAAAGAAAAGGTCCCTATTAATATTTAAGTTAGCCTAGCTGACCTGACCAGTCAAAATATTATTTAGCTTCCTGTCAATGTCCGACATAAAGCAACAGTTAAAAAAGAATGCATAGAGTTGTGTGCTCGGTTGTGTGCTCGGTTCAAAGAAAAGGTAAAAACCGTTGGTCGGTTCTCCATAGATACCGTATAGGCGTCACGAAGCGGTTGCTAACAGGAAATGCCTCATTAACTACCAATGCCTGGGTAGTTCAAGACAGTTGAATTTTCAACGATCTACCCAAACGATTGGATACCCATCCCATTTGCTAACTAGAAATAGAGCAAAAAAAAAGAAGGCTATTTCGAATATACTTTGTGAAAAAAATATTTCACAAAACATCAAAATGACACAGATGGTAGCTTATCCTACTTACAGCTTCCTGTATTTTTTTTTTTCTAGAATCACCAGTTTTAAGTAACATATACAGTTGTAGCTGATTTAACAATTTCTACCTGCCTCCACATGTGTACTGAGCTACCAGTGTGAATTTCTTGTGTGTGGGACAATTAGGTTAAAAACAAGGGTGATGCATTTTGTGGCAGGTATTTGACAATAATTGCATCCCGTGCTATTCAGAGGAGTTGACACTTGTATGACTGTATTCCTGTATATCCATCAGTAGTTAAAGGACAAGGGTCAGCAAATGCATATTCTGCCCTGTAAAACAATGACAGCGCAATTGTCGCTGTATGATCAGAAGCCCCACTTGGAGCTTTTAAACAGGCTTTTGAAAAACTTTGATAAGTTGCTGCTGTAGTAGGCTATTATATTTTTTAGAATAAAAGCCTAGCCAATGTTCCTAATAAAAAAAAATTATAGAGCATCCAGTATTGTAAGAAAGTCCATACTGTTTCTTGATAAATACATTATTGTATGAGTTAAGTACGGTTCCGTTTTATGCCTCTTTCCTCGTAAGTTTGAAATGTCCCGTGCTCCTGAATGCACCATAGCTGTCTGACGCTGACGAATGCGTGACACTGGTCTGTGAACGCTGTGCTGTGTAGATGCGCATTTGATTTTACCCTTAAGAGAAAGCTTTGCAATTTCAAAACTCACGTCGGCTATCACTGATTATTGTGTTGTGTAAATAACAAGAGACCACAACAAATAATCAGCCGTACCTCGGACAAAATATTTGGAATTAATGTTATTTTTAAAAAATCCGTATTTTCGTAAATGAATCTGCCAAATAACCACATTTATTTCCCACGAGAGGTATATTTAAACGTTTTTATACCATTAATATAAGAACCCAAGCTCCATTGGTCATATTTTAATCCGTTTTCCTCGTCGATATGCAGTTGAACAGAGCGATGCGCGCTCCCACGACTGGGGATGCATATCTCGGCAGGCATGCATTTTTGGGCATAACACCTGCTTGCTTGAATCCTGGGATATTTTATAAAAGGGGTAGAAAGATATAAGTAACTCTAAACAATGTATAAAGACTATATGTGCTAGATCTCTAATATTTAACAAAAAAAAATTCTTAGTTAAGCATATTGTGCAAAACAGCAATACATTTTTTTAAATCCTATTCAATTCAATTCAGTTTATTTATATAGCGCCAATTCACAACACAAGTCATCTCAAGGCACTTTACCGTTCAACCAGATCATCATCATCCATCAGATTTATATCCCCCACACCACACATATATCTGTTGTTCGAGACAACAGTTGTGTTGGGTGAGAAGTTATGCACATATAGCACATACAAGAGGATTTGTTTGTGGAACTCTGACAGTGTTATTGGCAAATTGTCTACATTAAAGTCCGCTGTCAGAATAAATTCCAATCCTCCAATTTTCTTGAACAAGGTCCTTGGAATACAAAACCAAAATGAGTCCAAGATTTTAACCAATTTATTTTTAGGGTCCAATTTAGGCAGTCAAAATCAATAACTTTGAGACCCCCATCCTTTGCGTCTTTAACCATACTGCTTTTCTTCATATAATGTGATCTGTTTCTCCAAATTAAATTTAGGTTGATTTGGTTAATAGATTTAATTAATCTGTTTGGAATGGCATTGGAATAGGCTGGGTAGACACATCTAGACAAAAATTCCATCTTAGTTAGGTAGATGCGTCCTAGTATTGATAAATCCCTCTGTAGCCATAAGTTTAGTCGTGACTTGCATTGCTTTATTTTATTTTCTACATTAAGAAGTTGGCTCCGTTTTCGGTCTCTGGATAAGTGGATACCCAGATATTTAATTTCAGATTTAATAGGGATATTATAGATGTCTGTCAGTGGCGTCTCATGTACAGCCAGCGATTGACGCTTTTTAAGGTTTATTGTTAAGCCTGAGGCTTTGGAGAATTTTTTGATTTTAGCAATAGTTTTTGAAATTTGGTGTCTATCTTTCAGGAATAATACAGATGGCTAGCATTTATGTGGCTAAGATGAACAGATATGGTGAGATGGCAGCCCTGAGGAATAACCACATTAACCTTGAAGCTTGGGGTGGTGCCACTGGGAAGTAGGACACAACTGCTAAAATCTCAATACCGTCCACTGATAAATTCTCGAAACTTGACTCCGAAACCAAAGTGTTTGAGAGTCAAAAGAATAAATGGATGCTCCACGGAGTCAGGCGCTTTGTAGAAGTCTAGAAAGAGAAGGAAACCATCATCTTCTATTTGGTTTCTATATTCAATGATGTCCATTACCAATCTAATATTATTATGGATTGATCTTACCTTTAAGAATCCTAACTGTGTATCTGCAAATAGATCTGAAATCCCTGTTTGATGTAAGTTAGAAGTTTGTAGTCTGAATTTCTGAGTTTAATGGGTCTTCTGTTACTGTATCTATGATTCTGTGATCTTTCCCAGGTTTTGGAATTGAAATGACAACTCCATGTCTCATTGTTGGTGGAAGCACACAGGTTTAAAATATTCAGTAAAAACTTTCATTTTACTTTGCTACTGAAAAAAATAGGATATTTTCCAATAGAAGTTGAAAATCTTTTAAAATACTTGGATCCATATAGTAACAAAGGTGTTGCCAGAAGGTCTTAGCGTATGGACACAACCAAAACAGATGCTAACAGATTCTGGAAGAAGATCACAAAAAGTGCAGTTCACAATAATATCAAAATTGAACTTTTTTAGGTGACCTTTGGCAGGACAGACCCTGTGAAGGAGTTTGAATTAAACTTCCTTTACTTTGTTAGTGAGCAGAAAGTGATTAGGTTACAGCCAATATGTTTCCAGGACACATCAATCACAAAGCGGTTCCAGTATGATACAGCAGCAGGGGTAGATGCCCTCTCTGAAAAAGGGATCTGAATGATTTATTATTAGGAACAATAATTGGGTTTGCAAAATTATTAAGCCCCCTTTTGCTGCGGTTACAGCTGCAAGTTGTTCTTCTATCACAACTCGGGCTCAGGGAAGTTAGATGAGGATAGTTTTTGAACAGCAATTTTCAGTTCTTTCAGTTATTGGATTCTCAATTGGATTAAGGTCTGGACTTTGACTTGGCCGTTATAACACCTCAATATGTTTATTTCTGAACTATACCATATCAGATATAGCTTTATGAAGATAAAACGCCGTCCCAGTCTCAGGTCTTTTGCAGACGCCAACAGGTTTTCTTCCATAATAGTCCTGTATTTGGGCCCATCCATCTTCCCATCAACTTTAACCATCTTCCCTGTCTCTGCTAAGGAATTGCAAAAAAACAGTGATTTTGGTTTCATATCACCAGAGCACCTTCTTTATCATGTTTGGTGTGTATTGCAGGTGGCTGGTGGCAAAGTTTAAACAAGAATTTTATTGGCTATCGCTAAGAAATAGCTTTCTTCCTTAAAGACCAGGTTTGAGCAGTCCTGTGGACAAAGTGTCCTTCCTCAGCTGTAGATCTTTGCAGTTCATCCAGAGTGATCATGAGTCTCTTGGCTGAATCTCTGATCAGTCTTCTTGTTTGAGCTGAAAGTTTAGAGGGACAGCTGGGTCTTTGCAGTGGTCTGATACTCCTTCCATTTCGATATTATCACTTGCACGGTGCTGCTTTGGATGTTAAAGCTTTGAAAATCTTTTTGTATCCAAATCCAGATTTAAATTTCTCCACAACAGTATTTTGAACCTGCCTGGTTCTTGGTTCTTCATGATGCTCTCTCCCCTTTAAACAGAAGTAAGCACAGAGCAGGTGCATTTTTACAGAGACTTGATTACACAGAAGATATGCATTATTTGTTCTACATTTTGTCCCTTTTCTTGTTGTTTTCTTTACTAAGTTTTGTACTCAGTTGACTTTTCATGTTGTCTCAAAAAGAATGAAAGATTTTTTTCCAAGCACTAAGCTCACTTAGCTGATTGCTATTTCCTTTGTTTCCGAAAACTCGATGGCAAAGTTACTAGCCCCGTAATTCTTTTCCCTGTAGTCAAGCCAAGATCTGCTTATCTGTTCTCCATTTTTTCATTTGTATGAAATAATAGCTGCATAAATCATGACAGCAGACAAGATAGAGGAGAGCATGAGTCAGGATTACGAATCTACTTGCTCTGGAGAGCAGAGTTTGGTGATTATATATGTTGTTGCCAAAGTCTCCACTAGCAGAAAAAAATTGCTAGATTTGGCGCTAGGCGCCTTTTTGAAATAAAAGCGCTAGAGGGGTCTGAAAAGTCGCAAAATATAGCAACAAAACCTCTAAGTTGGCCACACTGCTCTTCACACCATTTTCAAATGGTTTGCTGCTGTCTGTCTGGACGTTTCTAAAAATGTGCAGGAAATGGACTGATAAAATGTGGTGGACAATGAAGGGGGGGGCTGATACGCACTTAATATTATAAGGATTCTGATGGCGTTTTAGCAAAAGTATTTTTATCAAAAACATAAGTAATGTGCATAAAAAAGGAATAGTTGTATAAAAGTCGTAGGGAATTGGCTTTTCCAACCATTGCATTTCCGAATTTTTCCTAGTAGTGCACAACTTCACACGAGTAAATAAAGTGAATGTGATTGGTCGTTTATCAAGAGGGCCGGATTCTTGTGGCGGAAGATTTGCAAGCAAGTCTGGTTGTGGCCGGTGTCTTGGAAGCATCTTGCTTACCAGTTGGCAACTTAGTATCAGTAGGTTCCCAATAGGAAATTACACTGACGGCAACCACACATCCAAGAAACGCTATGGACAGCCTAAACATGCAAGAGGAGAAGAGTATTTTTGTCGGCGGTCATGGGTGAGTCTCCTCCATCATGCATTTTTTATTTGGAGCGGCGATGAAGTTGTTGTGGAAGAGGACGCCAGGGCTTCAGAAGCTTCATTTGGTGTAGAAGGCTTACAGCCGTACATGTCTTAGCCCTTGCCTTGCAACGCTGCCAGTTCTGTTAGCTGCCGAAGACACAGACGTCCATCTCTGTGAACACTGGAACATAACTCAACGGTAGAGTAAATTATTCTTATTTGTTATTTTAATAATTGCGTATATTAGCTGTGGGATATGAATCAAGATCCTATGACTGAAAAAAATTGATTGACAGATGACCGTTGATATATGATTGGCCGAATTTAGGTGTACAGGCTGACGTATAACTAATGGCCCGCATAAGGTAACGAAAAAAACCCCCCCACAGATTTTAAGACAGGGTTTTTTTGTTTTGTTTTTTTATGGAAATTTTCTAACTTTTGGGACAATATGTTCTGATAAAGAGTACGTTTACATACATGTTTAAGCCAGAATGATTAGAAATTTAAATATGAACTCCCTGCAACTTTAACCGTACATGTAAAGGGTTTTATGGGGTCCCCTAAGAACTTGTGGCCCTAGGCAACTGCCTAGTATTGCCTAATGGTAAATCCCCACTAATTATCATCAGTCATCTAGGTCAACATTGGATCATTCAGAGATCCTAACTGATCTTCTGGAGAGAGTTTTCTGCAGAGTTAGTTAAAAAAAAAAATTCAATATTTCTACGTTTCGTTCCACTTCATGATTGTGTCCCACTTGTTGTTGATTCTTCACAAAAACATTAAAATTTTTTTACCTTAATGTTTGAAGCCTGAAATGTTCCAAAAGTTAAAGGTGGCGAATTCTTTCCCAAGGCAACAAAAGTTGCGATTGCAGCACGGCAGCATCCGAGCTCTTAAACCACCAGGTGGCGATGTGTTCACGAGTCACTACTGTAAACAGTAGCAGGATTAACAAGTAAAAGTAGGGCTGCTATGACTAACCGACATGTGTGGAGCTGCTGGGAGGATAAAGGAAACGTTTGGTATGTTCCAGAGACATGTTTAGTTTTATTAACTTAGGACGTGTTCGTTTTTATTTTTTACTCCCACCTGACTTCAGTGGACTGTGTGGAAAATACCGACCTGCCCCTGAAATCATCTTTTTTATGTTTATTTGTCTCTTCTGTTTTATATGAGCCGAGTCATATTCTGGAAAACGCGTCAGGTTGAATAGACTTTTGAAGACATTTCTGTTTAGCTTTAAATGTTCATAATTAAAGCCCATCCTATTGCAGTGAAAGCTTTTTTCCCACTTTTTAATGCTTTTGAGGCATAAATCTGAATGATATCCAGGCCCCTCCTCTCTGAGCTGTTAGTCAGTCTGAGACCAGAGACGGAGAGAGCTGCAAATCTGAGAGGAACTCTCGTAGTTTATGTTTTTGTTCTTGTTTTTTTGGAATGCGGTGATAGAATTGGATCGGTGTTTTTTTTTAATGCTTTTAATTTATTTATGTATACGTTTATTGTTGTTCCGCGTGTAGAAACAGAAGCCAAGAAGACGCTCCGTCTAACTTTCTCTTACTGCTACTTTAAACAGGGGCTTCAGGATGGTGGAACCGGTAGGGTTTGCGGAGGCATGGAGAGCCCAGTTCCCTGAGTCTGCCCCCCCTAAGATGGATCTGAACACGTTAGGGGACATTGAACAGGAGCTGGACAAATGCAAATCCTCTATCCGGCTGCTGGAGAAACAAGTCAACAAAGAGCGTTTTCGGATGATCTACCTGCAGACTCTTCTCGCTAAAGAGAAAAAATCCTATGATGGGCAGAGATGGGGGTTTAAAAAGATACCACAGATGAATGACCAAGATATGCCCAGTGGGTCAGAAGACAGGAGGGCACAGACTAATGAGGCACAGGTAGATGAGCAGGAGCAAAAGCAGAGGGGCTTCTGCAGGAATCCAAGGAACACTGGACACCCAGAGGAAATAGTAGATGATCTGTCTTCGACAAAACCTAAAGAAAGTGTGTCCCCTGCTCGCCATGACTCTGAGCCTCCTGCTTTCCCAGTGGGAACAGGATCTGTTGCAGCTCTGAGGTCCAACTTTGAGCGCATCAGGAGAGCTAACTCCCAACCAGCAGGGGAAAACAGGGGGTTATCAGTGATGGGAAGCCAGGAGAAACCCTTCTACGTGAACATGGAGTACCATCATGAACGAGGGCTGGTCAGGGTAAACGATAAGGAGGTCTCGGATAAGATCAGCACCTTGGGTTGTCAGGCCATGCAGATAGAGCGAAAGAGGTCCATGCATTCTTTACCAGGAAACCTATCGGCTGTTGCAGGGGAAATTTGCAAGCCAGTTCAGAGAGGTAGATCCACTGAAGGGCCCTGCAACTTCAGCTGGTCACCTGACGATCCTGAGGTCATCAAAAACTTCCTAAAAGACAGGTCTGCTGAGGGGAAGTCAGAGAGGCAGACAGTAGAGTACCAGCCTTACACCAGTTTGTACATTGGCGGACTGATGGGTGAAGGCGACACTCGAGTGATCCACATCAGGGACGGCAGCTTAGAAGAGGATCCCCACCTCACTTGGCCGAGGCGCTCCTACTCTCCAGGGAGCTTTGATGATGTTGGCGGTGGCTACACACCAGACTGCAGCTCTAATGAAAACCTGACATCCAGTGAGGAGGACTTCTCCTCAGGCCAGTCCAGCCATGTGTCTCCCAGCCCTTCTACCTATCCTATGTTTAGGGAGAAAAGCCGCTCTCCCTCCCAGCACTCCCAGCTATCCATCGACAGCAGCAGCCCACCCACACCTCTGCCACAGAAATGTCTGAAGCAGCAGGGCGCCCCCTCAATCATCGGTGTCCGTAAAAGGGGCCAGATGTGGCCCGGTGATGGAGACTCCACCACATCCAGCAGGACCTTCCATGACAACAGTGTGCTTCGAGATTTGGGTAGGTCCCTTTAGACTACACGTGCCGTGACTAGAAGTATTATTATTTAGAAGTTAAAACTCTGAAGTAAAAATGCCTTTATTAGTTTTTTCTTCTTCTGATTGTCAATTCAAATTAGTTCAGAGTTTATTCTCCAAGTACCATAACAAATACAACAGGATGTGATTTTGAATCGGACAGAAAAGGAAATACAAGATTATCCTCATTTATACATACTAAATTAACCTTTACTTGCCACAGAGTCCAGACCTTCAAAAAAAAAAGAAAAAAAAAAGGAATCCGTATTGGTCTGAAAACTCATCTTGAGTCGCAATTAAAACAGACCTCTTTAATCACTGAAACACTTTAGTGTGTAGCATGTGTGAGTCACTGATGCATAGAATGCACCAACAATCTCTTTATTGTTGACCTCGTTTTTTTGGCCCTAATGCAATAAATCCATCCTAAAGTGTTCTCATCAGTTGAGATTAATATGCTAAGACATAGTTTTATTTATTTAGGTTTCAGATAATCTAACTGAAGTGTTTTATTCCACCGAATGTGGCCCACTAAAAAAGGATGACATGTCTTTTTGAATTTAATTACCTTTCTTTTTCTTGAAAAGTTTTATTTGCTTCCATTATCTACATTTATCAAGCTCTTCTATCGAGGAATTTTTCTCATTACCTTTCAGTAATAACAAATTTGGTTTTGCATCATTTGATGCTCTTTTGTTCTTTGTAAACAGCACAGCCTTCACTTTTTCACCTCTTTATACTCCCTGCCCTCTGAATGCTACATTCTCTCCATTAAGACACACTGAGGCATTGGTTCCCCTACGGCGTTGGTGTTGGTAATCTCACATTGGAGTAATTAACCTAAAGGGTTTGTTCTAGCTTGATACATTTGGGAGGGTTGGTTAAAATGAGCTCAGATGAGTCGGTGAAGAAAAAGAGCCTGTCATGCTTGACGTTTAATCAATCAAGAGTCTTTATTTTCTTAATGAAACCAGAATTAATTTTTGCAGAAAGATTTTGAGACTCCCCCGCTTAGAAGATGAATAAAAATCAATTAAAGTAGATTCTTAAACAGCCTTAGAGAAAAAAATCTGAACTTATCTAGAAATGTAAAATCTAGAAATGCAGTAATAAGTGTAGTGTTTGCAAAGTTTAGCCACAAGAAGTCCATTCTTATTAAATGTGTTTGTCAGAAGGAGTGTGAGTTTGTGAAGGTTAGACTGAGTGGCTGGAGAGTGGAGGGGGCAAGTGGGAGCCTTTCCCTGGAGACCGGATGTAAGTGTTTGCATAGCGAGTTCCTTTGCTTCATTAGCTTTTGGGAAGAAGCTGTTTTTGAGTCTGTTTTTTCTCGATTTAATGCTGCCGTGTTATACAAACGTGACATTACCATCAAAACAACAGTCATCCATGTTTCCTGTCGAGATGCACAAACACAATAGACAAATAAGTCAATAAGTATTGATTAGCATTAAAGTCACAAAAACAATATGACAATATTAAGTGGGACAGGGAATAGGGTTTAGGGATCTTTCTAGTCCCAGAGAAAGAGGGGCTTCCCACCTTTAGGAATGTTTAAGCTATTATTTAGGGGAAATCAATCAATCTAACTGTAGACCCATTTTTCTTTTTTAGTTTTGCTCTTTTGTGTTTTGCAATAAAGACACAAATTAATAGTTCAAGCCAGGAAGTGCACATGCTTGTGATGACCCACTGTTAATAGTTTTGGCTGCATAAAGTGATTGTGCTGTCTATAATAACTTCATATGGTTTGTTATGAAAGTTTAAAAACAATAAAATGGTGTCTCTTCCATTTTCTATTTAAATATGATAATTAAGTAGACATACTAAAAATGAATATAATCCTTCAAACTGGCTGCACCATGTGATCAGTACAGCCTATACCACCACATTGTATTTCTAGGTAGGATTAAATGTCCAGAGAAACTAGTGATCAGCAAAACCAATATATTGAATGTATTTATGATTTAAAAGCCAAAGGCCTTGCATTTTATTGGTTCACTGACCCAAGTTAAGCTATTGAGCAGTTAACTTTATCCCAAAATATCCCTACATTTAACTTAAAGCATAAAAAGACACAAGGACATAAAAAAGAATACTATTTTTAACAGTGTTAAAAAGTTATAGAATCATATAAAATCTTTTGTTTTATTTTTTATTTAGAATATTTTTGTTCCATAAAATTAAACTTAACTGTTTTAAGAGTAATTTGGTTTCAATTCAGTTTATTTATATAGCACCAACTCACAACAAATGTCATCTCAAGGCACTTTACAGTTCACCAAATCATACAGTCAAATTGATTCAAAGTTTTCTATATAAGGAAAACCAGCTGTTTGCATAGACTCATTGACTTGAAGGCAATCCCTCACACTAAGAATGCTTGTAGCGACAGTGGAAAGGAAACACTCCCTTTTAACAGGAAGAAACCTCCAGCAAAACAAGGCTCAGTGTGAGCGGCCATCTACTGAGGCCGACTCGGGTTCAAGGAGACAGAAGCAGTAATACAGAAAGAAGCAGAGATGGAAACTGTAAACCAGCTTCACAAACGGCCCTGTCCAGGAAACACACAGGCAGAAAGAGGAGCTCCGAGCCAGCTCCCATGTCAGAGGATGAAGAGAGTTTATCCAGTCCGTTACAGTCAGAGAAACAGGACTACACTGAGCTTTAACATCTATAAACAAATGTGTTGATGGCAGCTGCACAGCTGATATTTCTCTCCAGGATGGTGTCACAGCCGAACAGGAGCAGAACAGATGAAGCTACTATGGGAAAAAGCAGAGAGAGCATAATGTTGGGGATTGAATACACCGTTAGGTTTTTAAAATTGAATGATTGAAGTTTGCATTTAACTAAAAGGTGTCTTAAACATGAGTACATTCAAATTATTACTATTGTTATTCCTGTTATAAAATACAAGCATACTTGTTTCGGGTTTAAAAAGATCATTTAAAACATATTAAACATCTCTATAGATTGTATCATTTGGATCTGGGTTAGCCACTCACCAATTTATTTGTAGTAAAACCAAACATTTAATTTATGATTAAAAGTAGCTGCGTGCAGAAATAAAAAAGCAAACATGTCTTGGGATGTCGCGATAGTTTTCTTTTCTGTAGTTAGTAGTAGTTAACCATTTTATTTTTGTGGTGTGCTGTGGATCTGCATGCTCCCAGCTGTTGCAGCAGGCAGCGGTTCATCCTATAACCAGTCAGCTGATCCTCTTTGTATGAAATCTCTCTAGTCCTTCACTTTCCTTCATGCACTATTCACACAAAGTCATGCTTTTTCAGAGCCTGAGGTGCACTTCAAAGTTTTTGAGCTAATGGAACAGCTGTCTTATGTGGACCTTGTCTAGTGGATTAACAACAATCTGGATTTACCTTGTGATATTCCAATGACATTAGGATGAACCTAGCTGGATTAGGCCTCAGGTTGGGAGCCGATTGGAAGTAAAAAAAAAAAAAAAAAAAAAAAACTTTTTTCTCCGTGGCTTTATGGACTTTTATGCAATTTTTGAAAAACTTGGTTTGGTTGCATTTATTATCAGACCAAACAAGACAAAATGTGTTTTAATCACCCTCAGTTCTCGTATATACAGTGCCTTGCAAAAGAATACATATACATTGAACTTTTTTGCAAGACATATGAAAGCCTGCATAGAGTTTGCCAAGTAACACTTGAAGGACTCCCAGACTCAGAAAGTAGATTCTCTGGTCTGATGAGACCAAGATTCAATATTTTTATTTATTCTTTTTTTTATTTTTATTATTCTTTATTCTAATATGTGTGGAGAAAACTAGGCACTGCTCATGACCTTCCCTGTACAATCCCAACTGTGAAACATGGTGTTAGCCGCATCATGCTGTTTGGGTGTTTTTCAGCTTCAGGTGCAGGACAACTGGTTCCAATTGAAGGAAAGATGAATGCAGCAAAGTACAGTGATATCCCGGAAGAAAATCTCTTCCAGAGAGCTCAGGACCTCAGACTGGGCTGAAGGTTCACCTTCCAACAAGACAATGACCCCAAGCACACAGCTAAAATAACAAAGGAGGAGTTTGAGAACAACTCTGTGACCATTCTTGACTGGCCCAGCCAAAACCCTGACCTAAACCCAATTGAGCATCTCTGGAGAGACCTAAAAATGGCTTGTCCACCAACGCTCACAATCCAATCTCACAGAACTGGAGAGGATCTGCAAAGAAGAATGGCAGCGGATCCCCAAGTCCAGGTGTGAGAAATTTGTTGCATCATTCCCAAGAAGACTCATGTCTGTACTAGCTCAAAAGGGCGCTGAATACTTATGGCAATGTGATATTTCTGTTTTTCTACAAAAAATTCTACATTTCTGTTTTTTTTTTTTTTTTTTTTTTGTGGGGTGTTGAGTGTACATTAATGAGAAATAAAACAAACCTTTTTTTTTTAGCAAATGGCTGCAACTAAACAAAGATTGAAAAAGTTAAAGGGGTCTGAATACCTTCCATATCCACTGTATGTTTACGTAAGGCCGTCTTACGTGCTCGTCCCAAAAAATTCCCCCCAAAATTTTTTGAATTTTTACGGAACGTCCCCATTTTCAGTCTGACATAGTGGAAAAGTTGCAGATCTTCTTTTGGAAAAGTAAGCTTGTATGAGCGGCACAAACAGCGACTTTTAAACAGCATGCATAAGGAGAAATGGGCTCATGCATGCTCTAACGCACGATCAATAGGTGTTCCATCTCGGGAGCGGGTACAGGGTTGTGCATGTGCATTTTTTTTTTAAGTGGAGAGGGCAGGTCTTTTCAAAAAGTTGTTAAAATCCTCCTTGTTGAAATAAATGGCCAACCTAAAATTCCCACATGTGGAATAAGCGTTGTCTCCTGGTTTTGGTTATCTAGGTCGATTGCCATAGCTGGTTTTTAAACATCACCTCTGTTTGGCAGTGGGCCTTTAAAGAGGCCATCTCTCTGATGGGTTATTTTTTCCACTTTTAATTTACATCACA